TTGGCACAGGTAGGCACCTGGGGAGGCGGGTGTGGCTGCTGGAAACTGGGTAAAGGCCTGTGTGTGTCGGGGTGGGGAGATCTAGAGATGCCCCAGGGGCCCCATGCCCTCGTTCATGCCTGTCCTCCCCAACCACCCACAGGAGATGGCTGGCTGCTCAAGGCCGTGAGCCTGGGCCCCTGGGTCCACCTGATCGAGGAGCTGCAGGTGTTTGACCAGGAGCCTGTGGAAAGCTTGGTCCTGTCCCAGAGCAAGGTAGTAATCAGGCCCTATCCACCACTGTCGCAACACCTTCCCCCATCTTTGGCTTGGCCAGGACAGGGCTGGCGAGGCACTAGAACACACCTTGCTTAGCTTGGGGCGAGTTCCAGGAAACGAGCGCGCTAACGGAATCTCTGCTTGGCGGCTCGCGGGCATTATATATAGCCAGGTCCCCGTGGGGCAGTGTTCCCAGAATTGGGCCTTGGCAGTGGCTCACCACGCTTCCGTCAGACCCCTTGAGGTTGTGCTGTGACTCTGTGACCTACAGCCTCTTCTCTATGGTGCTGCGGTGGTCGGGGCCCCTGGGGCTCATGCTGCCCTCATGCTGCTGGCTGTCTTTGTGCCCCCCCCCCCCCAGGTCCAGCCCAGCCCGGTCCTGGCCCTCCACCCCCTTTGCTGTTTGCCTGAAGTGCTGCTTGCACCTACCCTTCCTTCTGGCTGGTTTGTGACTCCCGTGAACTTTCACGTGCTCGCCCTTGACCAACTGTTGGGGCTCAGATTGTTCCCCAGAACGTGGAATAATGGCGGAAAGAAAGTCCGTGGTTGAAGAAACACACAGATTGGCAGTGAGCATTCAAACAGAGGAAAACACCTTATGCTATGCCCGTGCTATTGTGAGGACTGATGGGCCTAGCGGAAAACAGGCTTCCTGCACTATTTATACTGCACTGAAGCGTGTGTGTGTGAGAGATTATATTCCTCAGCCTCGCACTTCCACTGTTCCGGTCTAAGAAGGTCATGTCTCTAAGGTGCTTAGGATTGTGTCTGGCTTGTAGTAAGCCTTGGGTGTGTTCTTCGGTCCTTCGATTTCCCTCCTCAGAGTTTAGCACTGCACCCTTCCTCCTCGGGCCCCTTTGCCCTCGTGCTCCCACGCAGCCGTTGGAGCTGCCCCCCAGGCCATGTACCCCCCGGCTGAGCCTCCTGCACCCCGCTTCTCTTGCAGAAACTGCTCTTTGCGGGCTCCCGCTCTCAGCTGGTCCAGCTGCCCCTGGCTGACTGCGCAAAGTACCGCTCCTGTGCCGACTGCGTCCTCGCTCGGGATCCCTACTGTGCCTGGAGCGTCAACACCAGCCGCTGTGTGGCCGTGGGTGGCCCCTCGGGGTGAGTGGGGCTCGGCACGTGCTGGGACCGGGGTGGGAGCCGGGGTGGTCGGAGCCCTAGTGCCCATGGATCCTGTTTCCCCAACCAGGTCCTTGCTGATCCAGCATGTGACGGTCTTGGACACCTCAAGCATTTGTAACCGTGGCAATAAAAAAGGTGAGCTGCCTTTTTTCTCCCTCTCCCCAGTAGGATGGGCCCCGGGTTTCCTGTGCTAACTCTGCTCACTCTCTCTCTACTACTGCAGTCAGGCTCACACCCAAAAACATCACCGTGGTGGCGGGCACAGACCTGGTGCTGCCCTGCCGCCTCTCTTCCAACTTGGCCCACGCCCGCTGGACCTTCGGGGGCCGGGACCTCCCCGCGGAACAGCCCGGCTCCTTCCTCTATGACGCCCGCCTGCAGGCCCTGGTCGTGATGGCTGCCCAGCCCCGCCACGCCGGCGCCTACCATTGCTTTTCGGAGGAGCAGGGGGCGCGGCTGGCTGCTGAAGGCTACCTGGTGGCCGTGGTGGCCGGCCCATCGGTGACCCTGGAGGCTCGGGCGCCCTTGGAAAACCTGGGGCTGGTGTGGCTGGCTGTGGTGGCCCTGGGGGCCGTGTGTCTGGTCCTGCTGCTGCTTGTTCTGTCGCTGCGCCGGCGGCTGCGGGAGGAGCTGGAGAAGGGTGCCAAGGCGGCAGAGAGGACCCTGGTGTACCCCCTGGAGCTGCCCAAGGAGCCCACCAGTCCCCCCTTCAGGCCTGGCCCGGAGACTGACGAGAAGCTCTGGGATCCCGTTGGCTACTACTACTCGGACGGCTCCCTCAAGATTGTGCCTGGACACGCGCGGTGCCAGCCCGGGGGCGGGCCCCCTTCTCCACCTCCTGGCATCCCCGGCCAGCCCCTGCCTTCTCCGACCCGGCTTCACCTGGGGGGTGGGCGGAACTCAAATGCCAATGGCTACGTGCGCTTACAGCTGGGAGGGGAGGACCGCGGTGGGCTGGGGCACCCACTGCCCGAGCTGGCTGACGAACTGAGGCGCAAGCTACAGCAGCGTCAGCCACTGCCGGACTCCAATCCCGAGGAGTCCTCCGTATGAGGGGCCCCACCGCCTCACAGGGGCAGCGTGGGACGCGCGGCTCCTCCGTTTTTGCACAGGCACCAGCTACCTCAGGGACATGGCGCGGGCACCGGCTCGGACTGGGGCAGACCCTGCCCCGCACCCACCCGGCCATGAGGACCTGCTCCGCTCAGCACGGGCACTGCCACTTGGTGTGGCTCACCAGGGCACCCGCCTCCCAGAAGGCATCTTCCTCCTCTCTGTGAGGGGCTGTGAATCACGGACACATGGGACCCCAGCCACCAAAACGTTTCAGGCAGAAGTTGGAGATGTGGGTGTGTTTGTATCTAGGTGTATGTGTATGTGGGTGTGTGCATGTGGGTGTGACCTAGTCTTCTTGTTTCTCTGTGTGTATGTGTGTGCGTATGAGGTAGTTTTCCTTTTTCTGTCCAGTCTTCCCTTGGCCTGGGGTCCTCCTGGTGAGTCATTGGAGCTATGAAGGGGAAGGGGTCGTATCACTTTGCCTCTCCTACCCCCATCTGTCCCCCGTGGGGGTCAGTGATGTACATAATGGGGGTGGGCTGGGCAGGGTGCTGTGCCCCTTTTGGGAAGTCCAGAGCTCTGGGGTGGGCCTGGTCCTGCTCCTAGGGCTGTGAATGTTTTCAGGGTGGGGGGAGGGAGATGGATTCTCCTGTGTGTTTGGGGCAAGGGTGGGAGGGGCCTCCCACTTGGCCCTGGGGTTCAGTGGTATTTTATACTTGTCCTCCCTTATTGGGCTGGGAAAGGTTGTGTGGGGGGAGGGGGAGGGAGGAGGAGGGGAGAGGAGAGAGGGTGGGCATGCTGTGGATATTGCATATCCTCTCCCAGCCCTAGGAGGAGGGCTCCTAACAGTGTAACTTATTGTGTCCCCGCGTATTTATTTGTTGTAAATATTTGAGTATTTTTATATTGACAAATAAAATCAAGAAAACAGTAAGTGTTACTGTGATAAGGGTAAGGCATTTGGGCCAAAACCTTCTGGGCAGGACTAGCCTCACCTCCCCATAGTTCTAGTGCAGCTGTCCCTAATGTTGTCCCTGCCTGCTTGTGCCGGAGGGAGGATAGTCCAGGCTCCAGTGTTTTCCCACAGTGGTAGCTGTGGGGCTGGGAACCAGACCAGGGCCACAGCCTCCTGGGAGCCAGCTTTGGCTTCTGGTCAGAGGGAGAAGTTAGGGCATTGGGACAAGGTCGGAGAGGAGGGGCCTGGCTTCCCAGAACTGTGGGGAGAGGGAAGTGGGAGTGAGGGGCTAAAGGAGGGGGACTTCCTAGAAAGAGCTTAAGATTGTATGGACTATCTTGTGTGAGGATGGGGCTCCCAATTAGCCTAGGGGAGGAAAGGTAGTTACTTCCAGAAGACTTTCAGCCTTCTTCCTACCCTCCAGGAATTTAGTCTTGAATGCTCTGGCTATGTGGAACATGGAACTTTCCCCGCCACCCCCCAGTGTGCACCAAGCCACCAGCCTATGCAAGGAATGGGTACAGGGAGGGCCCAGATATTTGTAAGGAAGGGAAGACCTACCCTGGATTCTGTAATTCGTGTCCACAGATGGAGGCAGTCGTGAAATGGACTCCCTTCATTCGACTGCTCTGGAGGGCCTGCGGTGACTAAAAGGGGCTGCTGCCCTGTGTCCTTAGCTTTAGGAAAGGGCTGTGATGGGGGCGCCTGGGTGGCTCAGTGGGTTAAAACCTCTGCCTTCGGTTCAGGTCATGATCCCCGCATCCGGCTCTCTGCTCAGCGGGGAGCCTGCTTCCCTTTCTCTGCCTGCCTTTCTGCCTAATTGTGATCTGTCAAATAAATAAATAAAGTCTTTAAAAAAAAAAAAAAAGGGCTGTGATGGCCGACTTCTGGGTATGCTAAGCTTTCGGCTTGGTCATTAACCTCAGCCCCCAGGATGTTTTGATACATGAAGATTGATACAGTAAACTCCGCTCCCACTGGGGCTGGGTGGTTTGGCACAACCCAAGGCTCTGTTCTTGCCCTTGGGGCGTATGTGCTCCTAGTGGCAAAGGTGGTGGCCACCTGCCTCCCACGGGTTTTCAGGAAATGGGCAGGAGGCACGAGAGCAGCGAAGGGGAAGCGAGGTCACTGGGCCTGGGGTGGTGCCGAGAAATGGGGCGGACCTTGGGGCGCGTCCGGCGACTCCCTGCCCTAGGGAAACCAGTGGGACACAGGGAACCGTGGAGGGCTGGGCTCTGGCGGGCGGCCGATCCGCCCACTGCGTCCCCACACCCTACAAGGCTGGCGGCCCCGGGGCCGTCCGCCTGCAGTGCAGATCTGGTGACCCGCGCAGCACCCTCGGCACTCCGCTTAGCCTGGGGCGCCCTCGCGTGGCGGCCTCGGAGCACGGTGCAACACCACAAGCCCCGCCCCGCCCCCTCGATTGGTTCCGGAACCAAAGCCCCCGAGGTTGGCCTCCGAGGACGGCCTACGAGGACGGCCTACGAGGACTGGCGCTGCCGCCGTGTGGACTGATCCCAGGCCCTGGCTCTGGGGCTGCTCCGTCGGCCCCGCCCCACTCTCCACGCCGCGGCCGCGCGTGCGCACAACAGCCGGGGCGGAGCCAGCTCCGGGGTCGACATGGCGGCGCCGCAGTCTTGTGCGGATGGCCTATGCTGCTCCTGGCCGGGAGCAGCGTCCGGCGTGCAGCAGACGCTGGACGAGATGGACTTCGACAGGGGTGAGACTCCCGGCTCTCTCCAGGTCGCTGGACAAGGAGATGGCAGGGAAGCGGGGCCCGGAGGGCCGCAGTGGGCGTGATGGGCGTGTGGGCGGGCGGTGGGCTCACAGCCCCCGCATCACTGAGACCCCGCCAGGGACCTGGCACGAGCCCGGCCACTAGAAACTTGGTCTCGGGTCTAGGTTGGGAAGCCGAGAGCCTGGTTTCAGTAACTTTTCCAAGTGGTGGTGCGGGGCCCGGCCCCTCAGCTGGTGCGCCCCCCGGAGACTCGGGCCCGCGCGGGTCGCTGGGCGTGGGTGTGGGGTGCGTATGGGGGGGGGTGTCAGAAAGCAGAATCTGCAGCCGGGGGTACTGCAGCCACCCCGAGGGCATGGAGCTTCAGAAGGGGGGCTGCGCTGCCAAGGAAACTAACGTGCTGACCGCCGTGAGCCCTGATGTGGCAGGCCATGTATGCTTTAGATACGGCACACCTGGCCCTCCACGCCGGTGGTGATATCTCTTAGCTTTGGGGCCCGGAGAGGTAGCTTCTTTACCCCACACTCTAAGGAGATTATATCGCCTGTAAGGAAAAGAGTAGAGCTGAAAAACAAGTCCGCTCTTCCTCGGAGGCTGTGTACCGTATGTCAGTGCAGAGGCAGCTTATGCAGTAATAACATTTTCATCAGCCCTGGGTGGATGCTACGGTTTTATATGCGTTCTGATCTAACTTACTCTTTTTTTTTTTTTTTTTTTTTTTTTGACGGAGAGAGAGATCACAAGTAGGCAGAGAGGCAGGCAGAGAGAGAGGAAGGGAAGCAGGCTCCCTGCTGAGGAGATAGCCCGATGTGGGGCTCGATCCCAGGACTCCCGGATCATGACCTGAGCTGAAGGCAGAGGCTTTAACCCACTGAGCCACCCAGGCGCCCCATGATCTAACTTACTCTTAAGGGGCTCGTGCGCCAGCTTACCTCCCTCCACGTCGCCACTCTCTGGGCTCCTGAAGCAATTCCCTCCTGGGCCTTCCTCCTCGCACTGCTGCCCTCCTCCAAAATTTTCTACTCCACACAGAAGCCAGAGTAACCTTTTGAAGATATTAAATCAGATAATTTCAATTGTTTTCAGAATAAGTTCAGATTCCCTTCATGGCCCACACAACTGTGTGATGTTCTTGCCTATTCTACTTCTCTGCCCCCACTTTATTTCTCAATCTTTTCTTTCTCCACTCACTATGCTTCGGCCACACTGGCCTTATTTTGGTTTCTGAGACATGCAGGATCTCTTTATCACTTAAAGCCATGGTACTTGCTGTCCCAGCTCCTTGGAATGAACTTCCTGCAGCATTAGGCTAGCTAATGCTTTTCCTTCTGGTCTTGGTCCAAATGTCACCTCCTCAGAGAGAGGGACCCTGGACCCCAAATTATGGTAGTTCTCAACTTAGGGGATGGGCAACACCCCATTCTAAGTAGTTCTCAGTTGAGTGGGAAGGGTGCAGTTCTGACCCTTAAAGTTCTTTGGCAATGACTAGAAACAATTTCAGGTGTTAAAACTGGGAGGGTGCTACGGTCATATAGTAGGTAGAGACCAGGGATGCTGATCTGCAGCCTACAATGCACGGGACAGTTCCTTGTAACAATTAACTGGCCTGGGCTGCCAGTTGTGCAGCTGTGGAGAAAGAAACCTTGCCCTGTTCAAAGTAGGGCCCCTACTTTGGGTTTCTCTATCACCTTGCTTTCATTAAAGCAGTTTTTACAACCTGATGCTACTTGGTTTGCTTACTCATTATTTATTTCCCACATGAGGGAAGGATCCTTATCACGTGGGCTGCTTTTTTTTTTTTTTTTTTTTCCTTCTTCATATCTTGTCTCTGGGTTCATTTTCCCTTTCCCTAAAATATATCCTTTGAAAGTTTTTTCGGTGAGTATGATTCTCCATCTCTCTCTCTCTTTCTCTTTCAACTGGTAGCTTACTTAGGTATAAAATTCTAGACTGACAATGTATTTCCCCCCCCTCAGACCTTTGGAAATGTTATTTATCTTTTTTATCTTCTACTGCTGTTAAGAATTTCGCGGGAGCACCTGGGTGGCTCAGTTGGAAGAGCGAGTGATTCTTGATCTCAGAGTCATTGTGGAGATTACTAAAAAAATAAACTTAAAAAAATCCTGATAATCTGATTATAATTCTTCAGTGACTAATGAGCTTTTCTTTTTGGTAACTCAGATGTTCTCTCGATGCTTGATGTTTGGTTATTTTACCATAGTAGATAGTTTGTCTAATTCTCCTTGGGATTTAATGTGGTTTTCATCTGAGAACTCATGGTTGTCTTTACTTGAGAATAATTCTCAGACGTTATCTCTTAAGACATTTCCTCTCTCCCATTCTGTCCAATTTCTCTCTTTTCTGTTGTTTGAAACTCCTGTTACACATATGTTGGTACATTCTGCCTTTCATGTTTCCTTACCTCTCTTTAATATTTTTCTCTTTACCATTCTGCATTCTTGGTGATTTCCAAGTCACTCATTCCCTCCCCGGTGGGTCTGCAGTACTGCCCAACCATCTGTTATTGTTTTATTTCAATGATTCTATTCTTTTTAATTTACTGACTTTAAAAATAATCTCTGCACCCAGCCTGGGGCTCAAACTCATGACTCCAAGATCAAGGGTCACATGCTCTACTGGCTGAGCCAGCCAGGCGCCCCTGACTTTTGTTTCAGATCTCCCTGTCCTTTTTTTCCCTCCCTCATGTTCTGTTGATTTGTGGATTGTATTCCTTTTTCTTTGTGAACACATTAAATACTGTTTTCTTTTAGATTGTGCTCTTATGGCTCATTTTGACATATGCATTTTTCCATTTGTTGTATTTGCTGACTATCTCATGTGGCGGTGGATTACTTCTTGTTTTGCAGCTTTTAATTTTTGAGCTGTTGGGGTTGCGGGGGGGGGGGGGGGTCTTCTCTTGTTAGAGATTATCTGCAACAGAGCCACACCTGTGTTGGCTTGTGGAGGTATCCTCATAGGACTTTTTTAAAAAAATATATTTATTTATTTATTAGAGAGAGAGCACGCTCACAAGTAGGCAGAGAGGCAGGCAGAGAGGGAGGAAGGGAAGCAGGCTCCCTGCTGAGCAGAGAGCCCGATGCGGGGCTCGATCCCAGGCCCCTGAGATCATGACCTGAGCCTAAGGCAGAGGCTTTAACCCACTGAGCCACCCAGGCGCCCCCATAGGACATTTTTTAAAAGTTGCTTCTGTGCAGTCCGTATAGCATCCACTTGACCTATTTTTATGACAAATCCTTAGCTTGTGGGTCTTGCTCCCTAAGGCTGTGAATAGATATAAGTCCCCTTGTACAGTGATGTATGTCAACTCTTTCTCCATAAACCTGGAAAAAATATGCAGTTAATAAAATTTACATGATGGGAAAAATGCAAAAACAAATAAATATATATCCCACATCTCCAAGTTGAGTGGGTCATGGTATCTGATTTTTTAGGTTTCTTCTGCCTTTGCTGTCTTCTCACACCTATTGAAATGGTGCCTTTCTCATTTCTTTTAAGTTTCTCTTCAAATGTCATCTTATCAGAGATGCCATCCCTGACCACTGCTTGTATCCCTTCTCTGTTTTATTTTTCTTCATAGCACTTAGCACCACCTGACTTATTTCATTTTTTTTTTCCTTATCTGTTTCCTTAATTAGAAAGTAACCTCCAGGGGCGCCTGGGTGGCTCAGTGGGTTAAGCCTCTGCCTTCGGCTCAGGTCGTGATCCCAGGGTCCTGGGATCAAGCCCCACATCGGGCTGTCTGCTCAGCAGGGAGCCTGCTTCCCTGTCTCTCTGCCTGCCTCTCTGCCTACTTGTGATCTCTGTCAAATAAATAAATAAAATCTAAAAAAAAAAAAAAAAGAAAGTAACCTCCAGGGCACCGGGGGTGGCTCAGTGGGTTAAAGCCTCTGCCTTCAGCTCAGGTCGTGATCCCAGGGTCCTGGGATCAAGCCCCACATCAGGCTCTCTGCTCAGCGGGGAGCCTGCTTCCTCCTATCTCTGCCTGCCTCTCTGCGTACTTGTGATCTCTGTTTGTCAAATAAATAAATAAAATCTTTAGAACAAAAAAAGAGAGAAAAAGAAAGTAACGTCCAGGGTGCCTTGGTGGCTCAATTGATTAAGCCACTGCCTTTGGCTCAGGTCATGATCTCGGAGTCTGGGGATCGAGTCCCGCATCAGGCTCCCTGCTCCGTGGGGAGTCTGCTTCTCCCTCTGACCTTCCCACCTCTCATGCTCTCTCTCGTTCTCTCTCTCAAATAAATAAATTAATTTAAAAAAAAGAAAGTAACCAAAGTAACCTCCATGAGACCAGAATTTTGGGGGCAGCCCTGGGGATTGGGGACCTTTAATTCTTGGCTGACCCCTAGTTCCCAGAACAGTGCCAGATGCATGATAAGTATGCAATAAATACTTGCTGAGTGAGTGAAGTGCCTGGGCCTGGCAGCTTGCTTTCTGCTGCTATTCAGAACAGGAAAGTAGAAATTTTTCCAGGTCCGGTTCATGCATGAGGTGGTACTTCTGCCTCCCAGCTTTGTGTACAGAACTTTGTTGTGTCTCTTCCTGGCAATGCACGTGACCTGCAGCCTTTGCTCCAGACCCTGCCTAGTTGTTAAAGCCAAAGCCTCTAAGGTGTGTGTCCATTTACACAGACTTCCAGGATTCTGTAGGTGGATGCTCTGCTCACCACTTTGGCTATGGTTTTCACCTTCTTTTGGCAACTGGCAGTGTCCTTTTCTTGCTTTTGAGTTTGCTTCTATATTCAGACATTTTAAACATTACTTTATTTAATATTTATGTGTTTAAAACGGGAAGAAGGGATTTATGTCTGCCCAACCATACTGTCCTGATTCGACAAATCTCCTGTCTGTCTTGTTCACAACTGTAGCACCAGCTGCTAGGACAGTCCTTAGCACAGAGATCTCAGTTAAATTTTTTTTAAGATTTTATTTATTTATTTATTGGATGGATGGATGGATGGATGGATGGGAGGGGCAGAAGGAGAGAGAGAATCTGAAGCTGAGTGCCGAGCCTGACTCTAGGCTCAATCCCAGGACCCTAAGATCCTGACTTCAACCCAGACCAAGAGTCAGGAGCTCAACTAATTGAGCCACCCAGGTGCCCCTCAGTTAATATTTGTTGAATGAATAAATCCCCATTGTATAGATGAGAAAATAGAGGTGAAGAGGTAAAGGAAGCACTGAAAGTCTCTAGTCACTTGGCATTATTCAGCACTTCAGTTGTCTTTCCACAGGAATCTGGTCGGCAGCCCTGAATGGAGACCTAGGCCGAGTCAAATATTTCATCCAGAAGGCAACAGACCCTAGCCAGCCCGACTCGGCTGGCTACACTGCTCTGGTGAGTTGGGGAGGGAAACCGGCACTCGGGATACCTGCTCTCCGTGCGGAAGAGGTCATGTTGCCGTTAGTTCGCCCTTTCTTCTCTCCCAGCAGGTTTTCAGTTTTAAGCACTGTGTGAACCTTGTTCTTGGTTTGTTTGTTTCTTCCTTGAGTATTAAATGCTTTATATCATTTATTTAATTTCATTTACCTAACAATCCTGTGAGGTAGGAATGAGTATTATCCTCATTTTCCTGTTGAAGAAACTGATGCTAGAAATGAAGAAGCTTGGCTAGGTCCCATGGCTAATGGAGGTAGCCCCTGAGGTCATTGACATCCTCTTGCTCCAGAGCCCATGCTCTCACCCGCCCACCACCCTTGTTGTCTGCCTGGGCTCTGCCATCTGACCTCGGTCTCTCTTCCCTGCAGCACTATGCCAGCCGCAACGGGCACTATGCTGTATGTCAGTTCCTGCTGGAAAGCGGGGCTAAGTGTAATGCCCAAACCCATGGGGGCGCCACAGCTCTGCACCGGGCCAGCTACTGTGGGCACACTGAAATCGCACGGCTCCTGCTGTCTCACGGGTCCAACCCTAGGTTGGTGGATGACGATGGCATGACGAGTCTGCATAAGGTATGCTGCCCTCCCCAACTTCACAAACTTGGTTGTTGTCATTATAAACGTGATAACATGTTCACTGTAGAAAACATGGGGAAAGCAGAAAAGCACTTGCGATGTCATTGCTTACCAATCATCACCTGAGGGTTAATGTGTAATAGGCCAGCATTTCCCCTGTGCATGTAAATTCGAATTACATGTACAGCATCATTTTTTTTCTTTGCTTTTATAATCTGTCATGAATGCTTTTCCATGAAGTTAGTTTTCTGAAGCTCACACCTACTCACGCCTACCCCTGTAGCCCGCTTTCTATATTGTAGCCAGGGTGATCACTTTAACTTTCTTCTGACCAGAAATTCCTACACATTGTTAGGAGTTTGAGGATACAAAACAGTGCAGCATGAAAACATTTCCCTTCCACCCTGACCCCTGGTCCCTCAGTCTTCCAAGGACACCCTGCTCAAGGCAGGTGATTGCTTATGTATTTTAGAGAAGTGGTTTATGCATATTTTTGGCATATATCTGTAAATGCATTCTTTTGTGAATTTTAAGAGAAAAATTTAAGTAGTTGACTGTATGATGTATGAGGAGAACCTGTGGCAGACGCTTTTTGCGGTCCACCAAAAATTTGTGCCCATTCTGTCCTGTTAGAGACCTGGCTTTCAGGCAGTGCTCTATAATCACACACTACATCCTACTCCCTCTAGCATCTCGCATGGCCAGTTCTCAGCCACTAGAAGACAAGACACATCAATGAGCTTTTTCCAGGAGAGTGATTAGGAGCCAGTGTTCCTACTCCACACATTCTTCTCGGTCACCTCAGGCAGGACGGACACCTAAAGGTTGGCAGATCCCTGGCAATCCACTTGGACTCCAGAAACATGTTAGGACAGAAAGGTGCTTGCTCAGTGACAGCAGCCTTGAAATGTTACCCCCACAAAGATAGAGTTCTTATTTTTATTTATTTTGTACTTCTGACTATTGAATAATACATATTATTTTTTTTTAAAGTATGATGGGAATAGGGCTAACACTTTGGTAGAGACACTAGTAGAGATATTTAAGAAATATAGGAAGACTGGGTGGCTCAGTTGGTTAAGCATTTGCCTCATGCAGGGTCCTGGAATCGAGCCCTACGTCAGACTCCCTGCTCAGCAGGAAGCCTGCTTCTCCCTCTGCCTCTGCTCCCCCTGCTTGTGCGCACGCTCTCTCTCTCCCATTCCCTCTGAGGCACAGGCACACCTCAGAGATAGGCCGACCACCATAATAAAGCAAGTTGGAGGAGTTTTTTGTTTCCCAGTTTACGTAAAAGTTATATTTATCCTATACTGTAGTCTATTTAGTGTACACTAGCATTATGTAAAAAAAAAAAAAAAATCGTTGTATGTACCTTTTTGAAAATACTTTCTTGCTAAAAAATGCTAACCATCATCAGACCTTTCAGCAAGTTGTAATCTTTTAACTGGTAGAGGGCCTTACCTCGATGGGGATACCTGTATAGGGTCTCAGGGAGGTCAGGGTAGTAGTTGCTGAAGGTTTAAGAAAGTGCTGGGGCACACTGATTCTTACAATAAGACAGCAGTGAACTTCGCCACATTGATTGACTCTTCCTTTCTACTTGAGCGCTGAAAGGCCATTGCAGGGTTATTAATTGACTTACTTTCAGTGCCAAGTTTCTGGGAATAGGGAGCCATGAGGAAGAGAGAAAGATTGGGGAACAGGTGCCAGAGCATCAGTCAGGACACAAGTTTATAAACGAAGTTCACTGTCTAATATGGATGTAGCTCCTGGCATCCCAAAATAATTACAGTAGTAGCATCAGTGACCACAGATGACAGATACAATGATGATGAAAAAGTTTGAAATAGTTTAGGAGTTAACGAAAATGTGTCCAGATATGAAGTGAGCAAACACTGTTGGGAAAATGGCACCTACAGACCTGCCCAGTGTGGGTTCGCCACAGACCTTCAGTGTGTAAAAACAGTGTCTGCACGGTGCAGTAAAGTAGAGGGTAATAAAATGGGATGTGCCTGTGTAGAAAATAGTCCCGACACAGGAGCAGAGTGGGACGGTGGTGGCCGGGGCGGTCTGGAGGTGCTGTTGGGCTGGTGCAGTGTCTCTGAGGTGAGTAGATAAAGCGCAGCAGACGACACTGTGGGTGACCGCGCTGGGTGGCGCACTGTAAGTTTGCTAGGAAGGGCATGAGCCCGGCTGGGTCAGTCAGTAGAGTATGGGGCTCGTGATCTCAGGGTTGTAAGTTCAAGCCCACGTTGAGTGTGGAAGGCGGGGGGTGGCTATCATTAAATGAAAAGAACAATTACCAAAAAATTATAAGTAGATTGACTTGTTAAGAGGTCAGATCTCATATGAAGTGTTCTTATCACAGTAAGAAGTTGGCTGGGAGGGTATTTCAAGGATCAAATTAATTTTTAGGAAGCCAGATGTGACTATTTCACGGACCAAAGATTTGCAGATATATTACATTTGTTTGCATTCATGGGAAGATGTCAGCGTTTACCTCCTCCAGTTTCCTTCTTTCTTTCTTTCCTTTTTTTTTTTTTTTTTAAGTTAAGCCATCTCTGTGCCCAGCGTGAGGCTCAAACTCACCACTCCGAGATCAGGACTTCATGTTCTTCCAAATGAACAGCCACATGTCCCTATCTTCATCCCCTTGTCTTTTATCCTCAGGCCAGTTTCTTGACCCATCACGGTGACACTCCAGAGCCTTATGTGTCATGCTATCCCCGCCCAGATGCCTCTCCCCTCCCAGTTTTCACCTGGCTTGTTGCTGTCCTTTCTGGATCTCAGCTTCTGTATCACACCCGCAGAGGGCCTCCCAGTTCTCAGGCGTGGGTGGCTTCCCCAACGGCGCAAAAGCACCCTGCACTTCTCGTAGCTTTTCTCTCTCTCTCTCTCTCTTTTTTTAAATTTAATTTGATTTTATTTGACAGACAGAGATCATAAGTAGGCAGAGAGGCAGGCAGAGAGAGAGGAGGAGGAAGCAGGCTCCCCGCTGAGCAGAGAGCCCGATGCGGGGCTTGATCCCAGGACCCTGGGATCATGACCTGAGTGGAAGGCAGAGGCTTTAACCCACTGAGCCATGCAGGCGCCCCAGCTTTTCTCTCTCTTGAGATTCTGTATGAGCTCTTTCTTCTGAGAGATAGCGAAGACTTGATCTTGTTCACTGGTGGCTCCAGCTCTCAGCACAGGTGCCCAATGAATATTTGCTGAGTGAACAACTAGATGTCATTTTATTTTCTTTTAAGATCCTTGCTAGCTGAAGAGGCTTTTCGATGGTCCGCACTGGTGTCGCTGGGCCCCTGGAGGGTGTGTACCGGCAGGACACCGCGCGCCTGGTGCTGGCGGGTCTTACAGCCTGAGGCCTTCTTGCAGTCTCCAGCCCTTTCGTTCAGGGGATGCAGATGTGGGAGGAGTTACGAATTTTCTTTTTTTAAAAAATAAGCTACTTCAAAACGTTGGTACCTTTTATTGTACAAAATTCTTTGGACTGCATCTCGCATCTCCCCAGAATGCACCCCAGAACTGCTCACAACATACCACTGCCTGAATTGAGGCAACAGAACTGGGAACCTTATGTCTGTACTCACTAGGAGGACTGGCTAAATATCTGGATTCAAATTTGAGGTGGTGTTTGCTACTAATATTAATTTTGACACCTCTCAGAAACCCCCGTGCTGCATCAGTCTGACTGTTGAGAGGGAACAGAGTAGTGTGACACAGTTGTTAAGAGTCGAGACGTGGCAGTCAGACAGACCTGGTTTAGGATCCCAGGCTGCCACACAAGCTCTGTGACGATGGCCAAGTCACTTACTGTGTATGAACCTCAGTTTCTTCATCTGTAAAATGGGAATGATGATAGTTCCTACCTCTGATGGTTAGTATGGGAGTTATATAAGCTAATCTGTGTAAATCACCTTAATCTTTTCTGGAGAAGGTAGGTTAAAAATTGACATCCAAGGGGTGCCTGGGTGGCTCAGTGGGTTAAAGACTCTGCCTTCGGCTTAGGTCATGATCCCAGGGTCCTGGGATCGAGCCCCACATCGGGCTCTCTGCTCAGCAGGAAGCCTGCTTTTTCCTCTCTCTCTGCCTGCCTCTCTGCCTACTTGTGATCTCTGTCTGTCAAATAAATAAATAAAATCTTAAGAAAAAAAAAATTGACATCCAAGTTGGGATAGTGTATTTCAAAGGAAGAGGAGAAAGCCAAGTACCTGAACCCACTTTTCTGTGCTCATCTGAACACTCCTGGAGGGCAGAGGCTGTGTCTGGTATATCTTGTGCCTACGGTGCCCAGCTGATAGAGGACCGAACATTTATAAAAGATACTTAGAGATCCAAGGTTCTATATTTGTTTTTGTTTGTTTAAAGTTTTTTTTTTTCTTTTTTTTTTTGAACTAAGACAAAGGACTGAAGAATGTATGTTAAAGGTGTAGGCTGGCTGCGGGATTTCAACTACACCAGATCCCAGATTTTTTTTTTTTTTTAAGATTTTATTTATTTATTCGACAGAGAGAGAGAGATCACATTTAGGCAGAGGGAGAGGAGGAAGCAGGCTCCCCGCTGTGCAGAGAGCCCGATGTGGGGCTCGATCCCAGGACCCTGAGATCATGACCTGAGCCAAAGGCAGAGGCTTAACCCACTGAGCCACCCAGGTGCCCAAGATTTTATTTTTAAGTAATCTCTGCACCCAGCATGGGGCTCAAACTCACAATCCCAAGACCAAGAGTCACATGCTCCATCAACTGAGCTGGCCAGGTGCCTGTCTATATTTATTTTTAATGTGCAAACCTGGACAGAGAAGAATGGCTGCTGAGCAGAGAACACAAGAAAGAAAAACTCAAGCTAACTGCCAGGAAAAGCACTAGATAATTCCACCAATCTTTATGCAAGTTGGTGGACTTTGGTAGGAATTAGGGAAAATCTATTTATTTTTAATTTTTTTAATATTTTATTTATTTAAGATTTTATTATTTTGAGAGAGAGAACACAAGCAGGGGGAGAGGCAGAGGGAGAGGGAGGAGACTCCCCGTCAGGCCAGGACCCGGAGATCATGACCTGAGCCGAAGGCAGACACTCAGCCATCTGAGCCACCCAGGTGCCCCAGAATTAGGGGAAATCTACTCAAATAGCCAGTGTCTTCCATTTCCACAAGACCTGTTTTAGGACCAAGAGATTCCCCGAAGTGGAGCAAGAAAGGGCAGGGCCCAGTGGAATTATGGCTTTTGAATTCGGCATCTTTCTCCATAGGCTGCTGAGAAGGGTCATGTGGACATTTGCTCCCTGCTCTTGGAACACAGCCCAACCCTGAAGGCTGTCCGGGATCGGAAGGCACGCCTAGCATGTGACCTGCTGCCCTGCGACAGTGACCTGTGGGACCTGCTGGCCACCTGAGCCGCCACCTTTCTGTCTTGGGCTGCCATGCAAGAGGACCCAGACTAGCACTCCTACCCCCTGTCGTGGTGTGCATCTGTGCTGCAGGGTGGGACGTTGAGGCCCAAAGAGCCCCATTCTGGCCGCTGTGGGAGCGAGGGAGTAGATGTGGGCCTGCAGGTGCTTAAGCCTGGACAGATGATCATACTCTAAATTAGCTCATGTAGAAACATCTATCTGTTTGGAAAAATAAAACTGTATCCTTACCTCATCCCATGCACAAAAATAAACTTCAAGTAGATTAAAGACCTAAGTATAAAAATAGAACTATGTAAGTATTAGAAGAAACTGGGGGGCATCCGACAAAAGCTGCTTTCTAGCTGAGTGCCCTTGGGAAAGGTCACTTTGCCCATCTGCCCCTGGTTCCTCATCTGTGGTGAGGATGGTTGTAACAGGGCCTGCCTCAGAGGCCTTGTGGAGGTTAGATGAGTGAGTAGATAGAGGGCCCCGGAGTGTGTCAGAGCACCCACTTCTACTTTCTTCGATTTTAACAACCTGATAGATTGAGTGCTTTTGCTTTGTTGTGCGTTGCTAATGGCCACCTACCTTCTCTGAACTTTCTGTCCATACATGTGGCCTGTTTAAAGATTTTCTTCCTTTTATTGATTCGTAGGGATTTTATATTCTGGATATTAATCTTGTTTATATATGTGTATATGAATATATTTTTGTATATATATATATATATGTTGTTCTTTCTTACCATCACTCTGTTGGTGTCTCTTCATGGAAATTGGTACACCCACCATAGACAGGAGTTTGGCAATTTCTATTAAAATTTAGGTGAGTAGGGCCAATAATTTGATTTCTCTGTAGCTACCTAGAGAAGTGTCCACGTGTACAAAGATAGTTATTTACAGAGACATCTACGGAGTTGTGCATTAGAGCATGTGCTGTAATGTAAGGAAGAAAGGAGGTAAGCTAAGTGCTCCCAGCGAGGGAAATGATTAAATTCTGGTACAGGAGTCATTGGAGTACAGTGTAGACTAGCGCGGAAAGGGTGCTGAGTTGCAGTCACAATATGACGCCTCTTAAAACAGGTCTATGGAAGCCGGCACGTACATGCACACGATTACAGGGAGCAAGTCGGGAGGGTGTATTTCGCTGGCACCGCGGTGGCCCTGGGTCTGCTGTGGTCAGAGGGCTTTGTCAGGAGCATCTTGAGCTTTATTTGTTACATTTGGGTTTTTGACAAGGAGTGATTTTTTTTTTGTTAAGAATTAATACCAGTCAATTTCCTGTGGAAGAAACTAGTTTTCTGGTGAGAATTTCAGATGAACCCTGTTGGTACAAAATGCCCTTGTCCTTGAATGTTAAAGAAGAGGAGTTGTAGTTGGCGGACTGGGGAGTCCAGAGCTGTCTTGCTTTTCTTATTTACCCTCACTCTAGTCTAGGCAACTTTCCCTCTTCATAACCAACGGTAAGAAAGCATCTTTGACCAAAAAACCCTAACACATAAGGACTGAGTTTCTTTTAAAAGCTCTGGATTCCCTAAGTCTCAAAACTTGGATGTATTTACTGAGAAGGCAGCTGTGGGTGGAACCATTCCCAGCGCTTCAGGGCCTGGGCTGTCCCTGACCTGTAGTTCTCCCTCCCTCTCCTTCTGGTCATCCCTGGTCATGCGGCTCCCAGTTCTGGAGTCTTACTATCAGGTTTCCTTTCAAAGGTCAGGACAGAATTCAGGGCATAGCTGGGTGAAGGCATGCTGGGCATCTTAAATGAGGAAGTTTGGTGGCTTGTGACAGCTTGTTTTGTGACTAGGTTAACATTCCGTACTTGGACCCAGAGCCGATCTCAGTCCAGCTTCTCTGTGGGATGGCATGTTCCCTGCCCAGGAGAGCATCGGGGAGGAGACCTGCATGTGTGGGGCATGGAAGGCTTTTCAAGGGGCGGGAGGTGCTGATGACAGGCTGGACTTGGCTCCTGGCCAGGGTGTAGTTTAATACGCCGGCTCTCGGAGTGGTGTGGGAGAAGCAGGGGGCGCCAGGAGTATGGAGGGCAGCCTTGAAGCTGTCTGGGAGCGGGGAAGCTGCTAGAAGCCTGATTTCCTCCTGTAGGTGCCATGCGGATTCCTCACGCAGAGGTCAGCCTCTTGGCCTTTCCTTCCCAAGGTCTTTCAGGGTCTCAGGTGCTGAGACCTGTGGCAACATGGAGGCTCACACTCGACATTTTTCTAGTGGCCCGGGCACCCCCCGGCCTCGTTTGTTGGTCGAACTGATGAGCAGGTGTAGAGGATAGCACAGGTGCAGGAGAGTGGGTGTCCGAGGGTGCACGTGACTCAGCCCAGGGCACGCCCACACTGGTATTTTGATCCTTGTTACAGAACCACTGAGCTATCTGGCCCAGACACGAGCCCCTGGTCGGCCCTGCCCCCAGGAGACTGCTCTCTATAAAAGGGCTGAGCAGCTCAGCACCTCTCACTGGGGGCGTGAAGAGCAGGGGGGACCATGGATATCATCAGCATCCAGCAGTTGGTAAGGACATGCAGCAGGCGGTGGGAGGCAGGTCATGGTCTAGAAGTCCCCAGGCCAGCCCAGCAGAATGAGGAGGTCCTGCAGGAGGCAGGCAGGTGGCTGCGTCCTGGGGCCAGAGCATAGGTGCAAGAGCGGAAACATGCAGTTGTTTTCTGCTGTGTCCGTCCGGTTCTGCGAGGCAGTGAGAGATGGAAGCAATGGGAAGATACCAGGTGATGGTGTGGACAGGACGACCCTTGAGTTTAGGACTCTTGTCCTGGACTGGGGGGGGCAGAACAGGAAATAACAGGCTACTTCAGAAGACAGGAGCATGGCCGCAGGGTGGGTTTAGCTGCTGCTGTGATAGCTGTTGCTCTGGAAATGGTCCAGAGGGTCTGGCTACTTTGGTCGGGAAGGAAGAAGGGTGCTCTTGAGTTCCCTGGGAGTGAGAGAAACGGTCACACTGGTGACACTTTGGGGTGTCTGTTTTGGTGACGTGGGGCCCGGGAGTCACGCTGGCCTGCAAGCCCCACCGTGGTGGGCCGGGGCCTCAGCCGACCCCGCCTGGTACAGCTGCTCCCAGAAGGCAGGTTGCCAGCATGTACTATAGAAAAGAACGTAGTTTGTTTTCCGTGGCTGGAAGCCCTAGGCTCTGCCATCCTATCATTTCTAGACTTTTCCCTCTCCTCTAGCGTGCTTGTTCGTCAGTGCTCCCCAGCTCCTGAACCCCTGGTAGGGGCAGGAAGGAAGAACAGATCACTGCATGGCAGGTTCTGCTCCGGTTTCCTCCTTCCAGCCCCTTGAGCGAGGTGCTAGTTTTACCCCATTGAAGTGACGAAGAGACAGAGCTTCATGAGCTGAGATTTGAACCCAGGAATTCAGCATTTTACCCAGGAGGCATCTCTGTCCCTCTGAGCTCAGGGTCAGGTGGCAGTATGGCGTGATCTGGTAGGAATGTAAGGACAACAGCCCAGGAGGGAGGCCGAGGTGTCACCTATACTGAGCATACCTGGACACAAGCCCAGCAGTATAAATAGATGTGGTGTCATGCCCCCGACCCTGTGTCCTGCTGACAGGACAAGGTAGGCGGCAGTTATCCTCCTGGGCCCCGGGCAGCACTACAGTGGGTGAGAGCCAAGAGCCACAGGCATCGGGGGGCATGCCAGCAGAGCGCCAGGAAGCTTAGCGAAGGCTCAGGCCACTCTGACATCCACAACACTAATCTCTAGGTCAGCTCTTGTCAGGACCCCTGTACTGCACAGCTGTGTTTTCTAAGGCTTCCTCATTTTTCTGAGTCTTTATCCTTATCCTGCTCCTACAGGTATGTGGAGACAGGGTTGGAAGTAAAGTGTTGGGATGTGGACATGGAGTTCCTGATCCTGGAGGCGGGCCCGGGGCCTGGAGGCCCAGAGCCCAAGAGGCCGTGGCCCGGGAGCAGTGGAAACTGGAAGAAGAGAAGAAGAAGAAAGTGAGAAGTGGTAGGGATGGGGGGCGATGGATGCCGACCCTGGGGCGGACAGGCTCTGAGCAGTGAGGACCTCAGGTGGCTGGGGTCCGTCTTGTAGGTGGGAGAGACAAGGGCCGGACCCGCCAGGAGCCTGCCCCTGAGGCTTTAGCACCCCATGGCTGACCGCTGGCCTGCTCTTGTGCCTCAGCTTGAGAGATTTAACAGCTCCAGACTCAATCTGGAGACTCTGACTGACTTGGAAAACTTGGTTCAAAGACGGAGAGAAAAGCGACTGAAACGCAGAGTCCCCCCCAGGGCACCTGAGTCCATGGTTAAGGTGAGTGACAAGTCAGGGCCACGTGGAGGGGTCAACACCTGGGGCTTGAGTTTGTGCGGAAGCTGCTTCGTGTCCCCGCGGGAGGGCTTGGGGAAGAGCGGATGCTGTCGGGGCCTGCTCAGCTGGAGGCTCCGATCCGATCCGGAGGCCCCACAGCCCTTGTGGCTGTTTGCTTGGGACCACACACACAGTGGCTTAGACGACAAATTTATTCTCCCAGTTCTGGAGACTGGAACTCTGAGATCAAAGTGATGGCAGGGTTGGTTCCTTCTGAGGACTCTGGGGGAGAATCTGTCCCCGCGTCTTCTAGCTTTAGGTGCTTGGTGGCCGGCTTCGGTGTTCTTCAGCTTGTGGGTGCATCGCCCCGATCTCCACCTGAGCTCACATGGCACTGTCACTGCGTGCTGTGCCCACTTGTGCGCTTTCATTACGGACACCAGTCATGCTGGATTAGGGCTCCCTTTACTCCAGTGTGACTTCATTTTAATTACAGCCGTGATGACCCTATTTCCAAATAAGCCCACATTCTGAGGTCCTGGGGTTGGGACTTCAACAAACTGGCGGGGGTGGGGGGAGCATGGCAACCCATGATGGGGATAGTAGATGCCTCGCCAGTCCCAACTGGCCAGGGGTGGGGGGTGGTTAAGAATTATGGTTTGTACCAGCCGCAGACCAAATGTAGTCCTCGGCTGGCTCTCGGGAGCTGCTTGGCTCGAGTGGTGACGTGGTGGTGCCCCAGAGCCCTGCGGTTTGAGAAAGTGATTTGGTCTTAACCTCTAACATACCCAGCCGCAGCCCCAGGCCCAGCCGGAGTCTGTGGACCTGGAGATGTTCCTGAAGGCAGCTGCAGAGAACCAGGAGGCCTTGATTGACAAGTACCTGACAGATGGAGGGGACCCCAGTGCCCATGACAAGGTAGTAAGTTGGGGCGGGGGGGGGACTCGGACTGCAGTGTTGAGCTGCTGGGGTGCCACCCTCTGCATGTTCCAGTCTCGGCCTGGGAAACGGCCGGGCTTTCCTGTTCTGCAGCCCGAGCCTGCGGTGCTTCCTGAGGTGGGAATGGTGGGGCCCTGGGTGCGAGCAGGGAGGGAGCAGATGCGTGTTCAGGGAACCTAGTGCTGGGAATAGGACCCAGGAAGGGCCTGCAGGGGGCAGCCATGCTCTCTTGCCGATCTCCCATCTCCACCCACAGCTGCACCGCACAGCCTTGCACTGGGCCTGTCTGAAGGGTCACGGCCAGCTGGTGAACAAGCTGCTGGAGGCAGGTGCCGCTGTGGACGCTCGAGACTTGGTGAGAAGCAGGGAGGGCCCATCCTCACGGCAGGGGCCCTGTCCCTCACCCTAGCACGCCCGTGCATGGATACTTTCGTCTTGTAGCTGGACAGGACACCCGTGTTCTGGGCCTGCCGTGGAGGACACCTGGATGTCCTCAAACAGCTGCTTAACCAGGGAGCCCAGGTCAACGCCCGGGACAAGGTGAGGGGTATGCGGCTGGGGGTTGGCCTCATCCCAGGAAAGAGAGCACGCGGTCCCTCCACCCCAAGGGTGACACGGATTCTCACCCCCCAGATTTGGAGCACCCCCCTGCACGTGGCCGTGCGCACGCGACACTGTGACTGCCTGGAGCATCTCATTGCGTGTGGCGCCCACATCGATGCCCAGGACAAGGCAGGCGCTTGCTGTTTGGTTTGGGTCTGCTCCACCAGGGGGCCTGAGCTCTGGGGTGCTCCCGTGGACTGTCCTGTGCAGGGGGTGGGGGTGGGGGAGTCAGGAGGATGACCCCGCCCTTTCCTGGCAGGAAGGGGACACAGGTCTGCATGAGGCGGTGCGGCTTGGCCACTACAAGGCCATGAAGGTGCTGCTGCTCTATGGAGCCCAGCTGGGTGTGCGGAACTCGGTAGGAGCCTGCAACCCGGCCCTTTGGTCTGCGGAGGGTGGGGGCTCTGAAGGAAGGACTGACTGACCCATGGTCCTTGTTCCCAGGCTTCGGTGACCCCAGTGGAGCTGGCGCGAGACTGGCAGCGGGGCATCCGGGAAGCACTGCAGGCCCATGCGGGCCACCCTCGCACTCGGTCCTAGCGAGCGCAGCCTGCAGGGTCACTTCTCAGCCACCATTCCACCTCACCTTCCCCTCCCCTCCTCATGCCCTCACCGTGATCCGCACCCCTCTGGGGTCGTCCCCTCAGTCCTCAGGCCAGCACTGCCCAGCAGGGGACAAAGCCGGCCCCCCTGGTTCTCCACCAGGCTGTGCACGAGGAACGGCTGAGGCAGGGGACCCCAGAGAAGCAGGACATAGCGCAGGAGAGTGGCAGTCCAGGTTGGAGCAAAACTGGAGTCCTGAGCCTCGAGCTGCCCAGGGCCGGGCACTCGGCATCCTCCAATCCTCCCTCCACAAGGGCCGGTTTCCCGCCTGGTGGGGCTTTCAGGCCACAGCTGCCATCCAGGCCACACCACTATGGCACGCTTTTGCAGCTGACCAAGGCCCTCCTGGCAGGGGTTTCTCGGGGACTCCGTTCCTGTCAGCAGCAACCCTGACAGCAGGTGGAGTGGCTCTAGCCTGCTCTGGCTGTCGGGCTTCTGGAGTTGGGTCTGGCCATCAGGAGCAGGTGCCCAACAGGGTTAGGCCCCCCCTGCAGGCCCCGTCTGGTACCAGCCCGGTTGCCTCAGAAGCCCTATAGTTGAGCAGCTAGAGCTCATGTTTGTTTTAGGGAAACCTCGTGCCTACGGTCTGCAGGCCTTGGTCAGCCTGCCTGCTGCTCTCTAGTTGGCCAGCTGACAGCGCTCCTTGTAGGAGTGAAATGCCTGGGAGCTGGGGATTGCTTGTGGCCCACCCAACTCTTGGGGTGGCGGCCCGTAACCCTACTTTGCCTCGGGCATCACCTAGCACTAGAACTTGAGTTCTGGCCTGGACAGCAGTTGCACCTGCTTGGCTTCCCCCCACCGCTGGGACAGGACACCGAGGCGCTAGTGGCTCAGCCCCAGAGGGGAAGCAGAGGAGAGCAAGGGGCACACCTGCTTCCCCCACTCTGCTGAGTGATGGCAGATTTAGGACCCAGAATCACCCCAGTTCTCCCCAAGATTCCTTCCTTCACTGCCTTTCCTGTTTCACGTCACACTGGTGTAGACCCATACCGCTGGCGGGGCTGGGTCCTGAAGTGGCAGAAAGTGAATCTTAAGGAACTCTGCCCTAAATGGAGAACCGCAGGCTGAGGGACCGGCTTTAGATGCAAGGTCAGCCTCCTTCCCATATGTAAAGTACCCATATGGACATCCATTTTGCAGCAGTTCCTTCCAGTCTAACACTGGCGGCCTTCTTGGGCCAAGCACAAGGCTATTCTGACTATGTGAAAAAGCAACTACAGCTCCCACCAGGAGCCACATACCTTCTCTTCCGTGGGCAGCTCCGACCCTGCACGGAACTGTGGTGACAGTTCCCCCCGGTGCTGGAGCCGTAAGAGAAACAGGTTCAAGTTCCTGGAGAAGACATTGCCCCATCTAGAAGATGGGGACCCTTACGTGACAGACAAGAACACCTTTTTATACACTTCAGTATTTTTTGTTCATTAAAACTGTTGACTATCCATCACAACCTAGTTGTCTGTCTGGGGCAGGGGATGGGGGGCAGCAGGTCATTAGGCCCAGGGCCTGGTCTTCCTCAGCAGCAAAGCTCAACCTGTGAACCACACTGGCCTGACAGCAAGATAGGCCCGCAAATGCCTAGTGGGGAGTGCAGGCACTTGGCTCTGTGCTCAAGGCACCTCTCCACTCAGTGATGGACTAGTTCAAAGAGCAGTGGTTCTCAACCTTGGCTGCTCGTCACAGTCACAAGGGAAGGTGTTTAAAGTCCTAATGTGCAAGCTAATTCAGTCAGTCTCTAGGGATGGGACCCAGGTAAAATGATCATGCAGAGGACATACCTGTCTACTTAGGAAATCCTTAGGAATGTAAAAAAACACCTAGAATAATGGAATTTGGCAAGACTTCGGGATAGAAGATAAACCTACAAAGACCTATTTCTTTTTTTTTTTTTAAGATTTTATTGATTTATTCAACAGAGAGAGAGAGAGATCACAAGTAGGCAGAGAAGCAGGCAGAGAGAGAGGGGGAAGCAGGCTCCCTGCACAGGGAGCCTGATGTGGGGCTCAATCCCAGGGCCCTGAGATCATGACCTGAGCCGAAGGCAGAGGCTTAACCCACTGAGCCACCCAGGCGCCCCAAAGACCTATTTCTATGTATTAGCAATGACTACATGAACACAAAAGAGCACAATACACTTAAAGTTGCCTTTAAGAACGCTTAGAAGTAACTCTAACACTTAAGGACTTGTATGTTGAAAACTACAACACACTGATAAATGAAGTCAATGAAGACTTAAATAAATGAGACCTACCTTGTTTGTGGATTAGAAGATGAGATCTAGTAAAGATGTCTATTCTTTGTCAAATTGATGCACAGGTTTAATGCAGCTCCAACCAAACAACCCAGCAAGATTGTTTTGTAAATTTAGTTAAGATGGTTTAAAAACTCATAGCTAAGGGGTCCCTGGGTAGCTCAGTTGGTTAAGCATCCAACTCTTGAGTTTGGCTCAGGTCATGATCTCAGGGTCCTGGGATCAAGCCCCACATCAGGTTCCCTGCTCAGTGGGGAGCCTGCTTCTCCCTCTCCCCCGCCCTGTGCTCTCTCACTCTAACTCAAATATAAATAAAATTAAAAAAAATAAAAACTCATAGCTAAAACAATTTTGAAAAATAAAGTGGTAGGAGCCAGTATACCCAATTTCAAGACTTACTATAAAAGCTCCAGCAATTGGGGCACCTGGGTGGCTCGGCGGGTTAAATGTCTGCCTTTGGATCAGGTTCTGATCCTGGAGTCTGGAGACTGAGCCCTACACTGGGCTCCTTGCTCAGTGGGCAGTCTGCTTCTCCCTCTCTGCTCCTTCCCCTGCTCGGTCACGCTCTCAAAATTTTTTTAAAAGATTATTTATTTGAGAGAGGATATGTGCACAAGCAGGGGAGGGGCAGAAGGAGAGGGAGAAGCAGGCTCCTTGCTGAGCAGGGAGCCTGATGCAGGGCTCCACCCAGGACCCTGAGATCAAGACCCAAGCTGAAGGCAAATGCCCAACCGACTGAGCCATCCAGGTGCCTTCAAATAAGTAAAATCTTAAAAAAAAAAAAAAAGCTATAGTAATCAAGACAACATGGTATTAATGGATAGACACAGATCAACAGAACAAAAGAGACAACCCAGAAATAGACACAAATATGCCCAACTGATTTTTGACAAAGGTGTCAAATTCAACAGTGGAAAGCCTTTGCAACAAATGGTGCTGGAGCAACCAGACGTCCATGGGCTTAGAAAAAAATAAGAAAACACCTTGACCTAAATCTTATACAAAAATTTAAAAACCCTCAAAAATTAGCACAAAGAGGGACACCTGGGTGGCTCAGTTGGTTAAGCAGCTGCCCTCAGCTCAGGTCATGATCCCAGCGTCCTGGGATTGAGTCCCACATCGGGCTCCTTGCTCAGCAAGGAGCCTGCTTCTCCCTCTGCCTCTGCCTGCCGCTCTGTCTGCCTGTGCTCACTCTCTCTGACAAATAAAATCTTTAAAAAAATTAGCACAAAGATAAAGCATAAAACTATACAAATTTTAGGAGAAAAAACCCTAGGAGACAATCTTTGGGACCTAGGAGTAGGTAAAGAATAATTCTTAGACACGATACCAAAAGCATAATCGGTAAAAGAAAACTGGTAAACTGGACTTTATCAAAATTAACAATTTTTGGGAGACCTGGGTGGCTCAGTTGGTTAAGCAACTGCCTTTGGCTCAGGTCATGATCCAGGAATCCTGGGATTGAGTTCCATACCAGGCTCCCTACTCAGCAGGGAGTCTGCTTCTCCCTCTCACCCTACCCACTCCCATGCTCTCTCACTCTCAAATAAAATCTTTTAAAAAAATTAACAACTTTTGCTGTATAAAAGATCCTGTTTTAGGATGAAAAAAATAAGCTACAGAGAAAATATTTGCAAGCCAAAAACCCAACAAAGGACTAGTAGACTATATAAAGAACTCTCAAAACAACAGTGAAAGACCATACAATCCAACCAGAAATGGGTGAAAAACAATAGTTATTTCACACAAGCAGCACATGAAAAGATCTCCATCAGCCATTATGTTAATACAACTGGAAACCACAATGAGATCTCACTATACACCTACCTAAAAATAAACGGTGACACCACCAAATGCTGGTGAGGATTTAGAGGAACTGGCTCACTCACACGTCACTGGTGGGAACACAAAATCGTACAGCCAAAGGCAGTGTGGCGGTCTCTAAAAAAATCAACCATGCAATGACCACACAACCTCGTAACTGTATTACTGGACATTTTCCTCAGAAAGCCAACGTTAACACGAAAACCTGTAAGGAATGTTCGTAGCAGCTTTATTTGGAATAGCCACCCAGACGTCCTTCAACGGGACAGTGAGCATACCAAGGAATACTATGCAGCAATAAAAAGGAATGAACTACCGACACACGCAACAACCTGGAACCATCTCTGGAATATTCTGCAGAATGAAAAAAGCCAATCCCGAACTGGTGACTGGTGGGTCACACACTGTATACAATGTTGTTGAAATGACAAAATCTTAGATTAGTGGTTGCCAGGGATTGGGGATGGAGGCCATGCGGGTGGCTGGGGTTCTAACGGGGAGCTCCGAGAGAGACCCTTGTGGTGGTGGGACAGCTCTACTGAGAGTGCAGTGGCAGCTACACAAATCTACCCAGGAGGACAGAGAACGATTCCTCACACTTGGCCAGCGTCACCTTCGTGGTGTGGATACTGTGTTCTAACTGTGCAAGAATAACCATGGAGGAAAACTGGGTGAAGGGTCCCTCCAGCTTGCAACTTCCTACAAATCTATAATTGTTTCAAAACAAGTCAGAAAAGAGTAAGCAATAACTCTAAATGCAACTTGGTATCCTGGATTGGATCCTGCAACGGAAAAAGGACATTACTGGAGAAACTGATAAGATCCAATGAACTCTGTAATTCAGTTCACGGGTTTGTACCGATGTTAATTTTTTTAGTTCTGATAGATGTACCAGGTTATGTAAGATGTTAACATTAAGGGAAGCTGGGTGAAGGGTAGATAGAACTCTTCACTCTTATGTACAATAAAATTGTTTCAGAAGTGCCTGGCCAGCTCAGTCGGTAGAGCACACGACTCTTAATCTCAGGGTTGGGAGTTCAAGCCCCATACTGGGTGTGCAGGTGACTTAAGAGGAAAAAAAAAAAAAAAAAGTATAGTTTTTTTGTTTGTTTGTTTTAATTAAAATTGTTTGAAAAAATAAAATCCTGATCCTCAGATTAACCAAATCAGGCTCCCTCAAAGAGGGAGCCCCAGATATCAGGTATCAGTATTTTTCAATTTGCCAGGTGATTCTAACATGCAGCTACAGTTAAGAACCACTGTTCTAGAGAGAGATGATCGTAAAATATGTTTCCCACCTGGGTTTGCTCTTAGAATTCCTTGAGAAGTTTCTAAGCGAGCATGCCATTGTTCTTTGGCCTTCATTCCCACTGGTCCCAGATAAGGGACCTGAATTCCTCTGAGAAGCCTCTAGAAGTCCTCCTCCCTCCTATCCAATCTGCAACGCTAGGTCTCTGTGACGCCCCAGTTTCTACACAGTTGAAGAACTGCAGGAGGTAAGAATGGGTAAACCAGAAAGAAAACATAAATGCCTTCTTGTTCCCAATCCTCTAAAACCCTGTAGCTAAGAACAGCAAAAAAAAGCAAAGAGCTGAAATGTTACAGATACAAGAAAAACCGATGAGAGTTTTTGTTTTGTATTGTTTTAAAGAAAGGGGATGAGGCTCTACCTGCTCCACAACCAACCCTTCTCCTCCTTGCTGCTCTCCATGCAGATGGCAGCCACCCAGCTCTCCATGGAGGCCCAGGAAGGAGGTACAAAGTAGGCCTAACGGTTGGCTACACTCCCCGGGATCCAGCAATTGAGAGAGGGTTAGGGACAGCACACCCTGTCCTCCCACGTGTGACCTCTCTTCTTCAAACACAGAAAGTGACAATACTGTTAGTGGCAACTAAGTAAGACAGGCAGAGAAGCAGAAGGAGCAGGCCTCCTCAGTGCCACTGGGGGCCAGCTTGTTTGCTTGGGGCTCTGAGCGCAGAGCTCAGAGAAGCAACCTCCACGGGAGGGAGCAGGACAGTGGGACATACTGGTGGGTCACTGAGCTTCAAGGTTTGGCACGTGGGACAGGCTGGGGCGCGTGCTTGGAAACATGGCATTGTAAGGGAAGCCAAATAGTTGACTGTGGCCAAGGATGTGAACCCCCAGCCCAACCTAGTGCCCCTGGTTTGCTCGGAAAGTGCTGCCAGCAGCAGAAGGCTGGCAAATTAAAAGCAAAGTGAGTACAGGTCACAGCCACATAAAGGCAATAATCGTGCACTCACATCATGGCTTGGCCCAAAGAGGTATAAATACACTGCACTGTCACGGGGAGAAGGCTGGGTCCTGGGGACCAGAGAGGATGGTGTCCTTTTCATTCCCATTCAGAAGCAGGCCTGGAGGGCTGTGCCCCAACTGACCCCCATTTCCTAAAGGAGGGCAGGACTGCTGAAGGCTCCCGGCACTGAAGTCTGGTTCTGAGGACAGCCCAGGACCCACATCTATAAGGGCCATCTAAAACGTGGCCTGGAGGGGATGGGGACAGGCTGACAGGAAGCTACTCCTCGGCTCTCCAGTTCCCCACGTGCTTGTCCATTCCCCAGACCTGGGGCTGCCTGGCAAGCAGTTAAACCCCTGGGTTCCGCCCAGGGCTCTCCTCTGCTGGGAGGCCGGGTCTGCTGTGGTGCGGCCCTAGAGGAGAGAAGAAAAGGAGAATTAATATCAAAGCCAGCGAAGGAAGCAGGTCCCATCCAAACCAAGTATCAAAACTCTCTTCAGGACAGGAGGGGCTGGCAAGGCGGAGGAGCCGCAGGACACCTCAGTGCCAAGGCAGAGCTGGGAGTGAGCAGGCAGGAGCCGGCAGGCTAACTCCACCTCCCAAGAGAAAACCACTGGGAGGAGGAGGGCTGCACTGGCGAGAGGCGGGAAAGCAGGCCAGGGGGTTTCTGCTCACAGGAGCCGGAGGCCATAAGGCTGGGCGAAAAAAGCCTGCCAGGGACACGAAAGGCCCTGCCCCAAAGGAAGCCGTAGTTTCCACCACTGAGCAGGTTCTTTCATGACCCCGCCTGTCTTTTAGCAAATGAGATGGTAAGTAGCAATGAAGGACAAGAAGGGCCCCCTCACCACCCACCCCGGGAGAAACACCTCCCTGTCTGGGGGCAGCAGTGTCCAGGGCCCCTCCCGGCAGCTAGAGGGATGGGGAAGGAAAGCAAAGGAAAGGAAAAGGGAAGATATTTACCTTGGGTGTTTTCTGAAAACAAAAAATGCTCACTAGTCCACAGTCAATTATCAACTGCAGTTTCCAAATGTGCCAAAGAGGGAAAGGTCTACGGGGAAGGCTAGAGAGAGCAGAGGGGAGAGAGACAAGAGGAGACCAGCTGTGCAGCTGCGCCGGCGGGGCAGCTCGGCTTGGGCAACCCCGCAGGCTGCTGAGGGGGGGCAGGTGGGGGCCGGAGAGGTGTGCCCCCTGTGGCCTGAGGCTCAGAACCAGAGGGAGCAGGTAGCGCGGCATCTGGAGTGGACTCTCCTTTGGAAATCAGCTCTGGGAATGGTCATTGTGCAGGAGCTATGCTGAGTCTGGCATGATGGGCCAGGGGTCCAGGAACCTTCTGCAAAGGGCCTACATTTTTAGGTTTTGCAGGTCTCCATCCCTGTGGCAACAAGTCCGCTCCACAGCCGTAGCCAAAGGCAGCTATATACAATCCATAAACAACCGGCCAGTCTGCCCATCCCCGCTGCAGGAGTTACAAATTTCCCAAGCATCTCAATAAAGGCATTTCTCTGCCAGCAAATCCAGTGCCCAAGTCAATCAGGGGTGGTTCCGACCCACACTATCTGAGCAGTGTTCCTGGCGACATAATAAGCGCAGCGGCACGAAGCCCTCCTGGGGGCAGCACGGGCCGCCAAGCACAGATGAGCCACTGACACGAAGACCCTCTCAGCGGGGGCCACCGAGCACAGATGAGCCGCAGCAGAGCCTCAGAGGGCTGAGGCAGGGAGCGGGAGGACAGCAGGCCAGCTGCTCGGGAGACAAATATCCGGTCTCGAATGGGGGAAAACCAACATCCTCACAAAAGAATGAGATGGCAGTGCACTACGCTCAGCATAATGGCCTCGGATAAACGTCACTGGCAAGGACACCGCCCCCATGCAAAGTGGGTAAGCCACTGCAGAGAGGCAAAGGACCCACAGGGCCACTGCAGGTCACACGTCTCCCCCGCCTCAGCAGAGCGCTCCCATGAAATCTTGTGTAAGCCAGCAAAGCATAAAGCAAAGAAACAATTACCGTTTCATAAAGCAAAACTCTTCTTCAGAGTTCTTTCAGTTAGTGAAAATGGGCACGAACCTAAGTCTTTTGTAAAAGCAAAGTGGTGCAAAGAGAGCTTTCAGGGGACACCTGTGCTTCCTCAGAGAACCACCCAATGAACGGCTGAAGCCCAAAAAGGACCTTAAAAAACTGCGTGTATAATAAAGGATGAAATGAAGGAAAAAACCATCATTCTTAGATTTTAAGTGTACACCTTGAATAGAACACATACAGTCTGAATAAGCAGATGAAGGCAGAAAAGATTCACATTGGAAAAAAAAAAAAAAAACAAAACCAAACACTCACATTTTGAAAAAACAAAAACATACTGACTTTTGAGACCCAAGTCTAAAGGGATGGTGTAAATGGCATCTCACAACAGAACATCACAGCAGGTAAATACAGAACCGTGATCAGTCCTAAAACACAGAACACCACTTCTCAGTACACATTCACTGAGAAGGCCCAGATCCAGAGCTGGAGCAGCATGCCTCAAGCTGGGACCCCCTTTCACCAGCGCACAGAGATGGAGCACTCAGGAGCTGAGCCACTCACAGGCCTGGGGAGGGGTTCCTGTCCCTTGCACCTGCACATCTCCTCTCAGAAAGCAGGCATCATAAAAACACGTTCGTGGGGGTGCCTGGGTGGCTCAGTGGGTTAAGGCCTCTGCCTTTGGTTCAGGATCCCAGAGTCTTGGGATCGAGCCCCACATCAGGCTCTCTGCTCAGCAGGGAGCCTGCTTCCCTTCCTCTCTCTCTGCCTGCCTCTCTGCCTACTTGTGATCTCTATCAAATATATAAATAAAAAAAAAAAGCAAAAAACCAAAAAACACGTTTGTGTTCTCAATGATGGGTCTAAGTAACCAAACCCTATGTCTGTGTCCCTGTGACACACCAATGCCCAGAGGCCAAGGGCATGCACAGGCTCCAAGCCAGGGTGCCTAGGTCTCTCTCTGCTTCTGATTCTTCATCTGTAAAATGGGTCTAACAACTACCACCTCTGAAAATGGAGAAGTTGTCTTAGACGAATGAGGACGAGCAAAGCTCCTAGTGTGTTGCCAGGGAGAGCTAGTGTTCAAGAGAGCTCGGTGTCCCCACTTCAGAGTGCCCAGGGCAGCCGGCAGCCTGCAGCTCCCTCCACAGCCTCTCTGGAAGCCCCACCCACTCCCCCAGGACCACCCAGCCTTCAAGTGAATCTCTGACCCCAACTTAGGAGCTCAATCAGAATAAAAGTACCTTCCTGAGTAACAAGGCAACCTGAACTTTTTAGCACTCCTACCCAAAGCCCATTCTCCACAGGCTCCTTTTTATTTTCCCTCCTTATAATCTACAAGGCAGGGTCTGCTGGTCCATGCCCCACCCCACATTACAAAGTCTATTTCTTCCAAGATGGTATCTGGCTCACAGTGGAACCCGAGATGTGAGGGACAGGCCTTATATGTTAGCTTGACCTGACCAAACACCTCAGCTGCTGCCCTTCTTAGCTCCTGGGATGGTGTCCGCTAGCCAGCCACCTTCGGAGCTGGGTCCACTGGTGACCTACCCCCAACCCTAACTGACCAAGAGTGTCTGAACTTGATCTTATTCCCATTTAGTACCTGTTCTCTAATTAAGGCAACTCATCCTAACAGTCCTCCAGAGAAAATGCTGACTGAACATACGTTCAACGCCAGCTGGTCTGTGGTGCAGTGTCACTGGAGCTACTAAGAACAATGAAAAGAGAAAAAGGAAAGGAGGGGCAGAAAAGGGGACAAGGAAAGAGAAACACAAGGCAGAGTGGGGGCAGAGAGTGAGTGTGTGTGGGAGTGGCAAGGAGCGGCAAAGGACGTGCCTGCCCATACCGAGGGATGCGGCCTTGTGGGGCTCACCTGCTGCTGTGGCTGTCTTGTCCCCAAGGAGCCTGGTCTGGCTGCCTGGGATGACCTGGAGGTCTGCGTTCTCCGGGGACTGTGGCAGGCTCTGGGCTCGAGTAGCCAGGAGTGCATTGAGGTACTGCAGCCTTGTGACCTGGAGAACAGAAAGCATTCCCAGGCAGGTGCAACTCGCGAAGCCAGGCGGAGAAAGTGAGGTCCAGGAAGGTCACATGTCTCCCTCCTGCCCATAAGCACCAGAACTAGGTGGGAGCATCACATTCGGCAGGATCAAGAAAAAAGAAGAGCATTAAGCCAGCTAAAGGCAGAGAAGAGCAATCAAGCAGTGTCTTCAAGATCTCAAAAGGAAGCTGGGTGCACAGTCCCGGCGATGGGACTAGACTACCAGAAGTCAGAGGGGCTTCCTGGAGCCAAGGACGTCTGTCCTTCAGGGCAAGACTTGCTCTGGCATGTCTCAGAAAGACTCGAGCAGAATTTACTCTTAATCCATACAAACTTGTAGCTGGCTGATTTAGCCCCTTAGAGACACACAGCTGGCTAACAGCCAGCACCAATGAGCAGCCCAGACAGTCACCTTAATGAGCTGCAGGTCGGAGAGGGCCCTCACGGTGTAGTCAGGACAGTACGCAGACAAGCGGGCACCATCGACTGGCTCGGGCTGCAGGTCGTGGCGGAGGGACTGGAGCGAGGACACCGGGGACTGGTGAACTAGCAGAAGGAACAATCAGTGATGTCTCTGGTGGGGACAACTACACCGTCTCGAAGATCCACCCCACAGATCCCTCTGGGAGGGAACATGGCCACAAACACAGAAAAGGAGGGCAAGCAACAGAGACAGTCCCAAACATACTGCCCCCTCCCTCGACACAGCCCCGACAGGAGAAAAGCCAGCCCAGAGTCCCGGGCCCCGGGGAGCCAGGAAGGGCTGCAGCTTACCCGAGGATGGTGCTGTCAGGGCAGACACTCCATAGTAGGTGAAGGCCCCATTCTCGAACTTCAGGCCCTCTTTCCCGATCTCCACCTCAACCCTGCCCTGGGAGGTGTAGGGAGAGGGAGGAAGGAGGGGCAGGGAGAGAAACAGATGTGGACAGATTACCTCTCCTGCCAGAAGAGAGCACAGGGAGAAAGCACCAATCCCAGTTATCCAGGGGGTGTGGATGGAGACGATCCTCCCTCTCAGACCCTCCCCTACTTTCTGAGCAAGTGGGGGGCTCCAGCAAGGGCTGGCAGTTACCTGCAGGATGAGAATGAAGTAGTCCACTGGCTGGCTGCGCTGGTACAGGTAATGGTGAGCAGCTAGACGGTTGCTCTCATCAAACCTCACTTCCTGGTTGACGCTGGGATGCTTCAGCAGGTGCAGCAGGACCTTCTCGGAGATCCGCAAGGGGCTGAACACATCCACCTCTGCCCCACGGCGGAACAAAGGGACCGTGTACATTGGGCCCAGAGTGGCCTGCATGACTACACCCGACTCCTGCTGCCCCGAGCCAAGTCACCTCCCCAACACAAGAGTACTGGGCAGGCCACACCCCTCAGGCCAAGGCTCCCTGCCATGGCCCTCCAGAGAAGACACCAGCCTAGCTCCTGCTCTCAGCCCAGTCATGAGGAGCTGCCCCCTCAGATGCCTGGAGACGCTGGCGGGGCTAGAGAGAAGCAAAGAAGTTCTCCAGGATACTCTCCTCCTTACTGGGAATGAGGGCCCTCGGTGTCTGCCCTGGGGGCCTCCTGACCCACTGGATGTGAGCAAGAAAGCAAAGGCTAACCCTTCACCCTCACCTTGGGACAGGAATTGCTGGGTGGCCAAGAGCAGCTGAGGCGAGATCTTCACTTTATATTCATCATCAGACACCTTGAACAGGGAGAAGTCCTCTTTCCGCTTGAGAGGGGCACTCAGAGGAGCGGGCTTCTTCCTCACGGCAGCGTCTCCTAGGATGGTGAGAAGGCCCACTGAGGCACAGCGTCCCTCCAATCAGCATGACCAAACGAAGGCATGGTGCCAAGGCCTGGGGGTTCTCAGTAGGGGAGGCAGCATCAGAGCCCAGGGATACAGCCTCAGCACGCTGCCTTGCTGGGGCCCGGCAGCCACTCCCAGCACAGAGCAAACCTGGCACTCACGACAGAGGGCACAGGCCTTTACTCCAGCTATAGCCTGAGGAAGTATGGGAAGGGACTGCTCCTCTCTTCGGAGCTGGGAAGGTAAACACCAACAGGACAGCAAGGCTGCTTTAGAAAGAGCCACAGTTGGTCACCAGAAACCATATCTTTGCAGATTACAGAGGCTACACAGCAGCGACTAACCTGACGTCCCCATGCTTATGGCAGTCTGAGGAGCCAAACTCAAGAGGCTGCATTTTGGGGACAGACTCTGGGCAAAGCAATTACTTGACAGTAAACAGAGTTGCGGGGGGGGGGGGGGGGTTCTGTCCCAAGAGTGCACGTAAGGCCTGGGCCATCAAGCATGGGCTCTGTGTCTGCCCTGCAGACCTCAGCCGTCTTCCTAAGAGGCAGACACCTCTAAGGCACAATCACAGGCCCCAGGATCTTCTGTTTTGTTAAGATTGTCCAGCAGTAAAGAATGGGATTCTTTGAGGAGGGGCTTCTGCAATGTAGGAAAGAACATGAGAAAGCCAAAAGGCCAAGGAAGATGAGAGCCTGGGAAAGGCCCATAAAGGGCAGAGGCCCCACCCACCAGGCCACTGCGGCTCCGCCTCCAGGCACAGGTTGGGGCCCTCCTGCAAGGAGGCCATGCTGGCACCATCCCTCGAACGCCCGGCTAGGCTCAGACTGGAGATCCAGCCTTGTGTCAACAACACGGAGACCTACTGTCCTCTGAGGTTGATGAACACCACACATCTCAGCAGGCTTGACAGACCAGTTGAGATGGAACAACGCCAGGAGTCAAAACTCACGGTAGTCCTCAGATTCGTCCAGGATCTCAGACTTGATGATCTCCTCAATGACGTCCTCCAGGGTGACCAGGCCCAGCACCTCGTAGAAGGGGTCACCTTCACCCTCGTTGTTCACCTTCTGCACGATGGCCAGGTGGGACTTCCCTGGGGGAGGGGATGCTCAGATTACAGCTGGTCGGGGGGGCCTCCCATTTTGCTTAGTCCTACCTGGTACGAGCTCATCAGAGTGACAGAAGCTGGTGTCTGTGTTCCCACAAGGTCCTACAAGGTACCAGGCACTAGTGAGATTCTCCCTAAGTTCTTACCTAAGACTATCAACACACTCATGTGGATGAGCTTCCCTTTACACATGAGGACCCTCCATCTCAGGCACTGTGGTCAGCTGCACAAGGCCACCCAGGCAAGGGCAGCGCCATGTCAGCCTGGGTCCACAGGAACGCGATTTAGATAAGGATGGTCCGACCAACCAGATGAGGGAGGGTTACACGCACAAGGGCACTGACTCCAGAAGCATGGGCTCCCCTGGGACGGCCTAAATTGGGTGCAGGGGCAGAGGGGCCACGCAGTGACTTTCCTGGGGAAGTTTCCCCAGGTCTGAAAGCTGTCCTTTATTTCCAGAAGCCAAGATCTATACAAGTCATCCAGGGGAAGACGACAAATGGTAAGCGGCCAGTAAGAGCCCAGACGGTGTGGAAGGAGGAGCTGCAGCCTGGAGCTGTTCACCTTCCCCTCCTTCAGGTGAGCTTCCTGTTTGTTTCCTTGTCTGATCAAGAAATAGAAGTTTGAGGGCGCCTGGGTGGCTCAGTGGGTTAAGCCACTGCCTTCGGCTCAGGTCATGATCTCAGGGTCCTGGGATCGAGTCCCGCATCGGGCTCTCTGCTCAGCAGGGAGCCTGCTTCCCTCTCTCTCTCTCTGCCTGCCTCTGTCTACTGTGATCTCTGTCAAATAAATAAATAAAATCTTTAAAAAAAAAAAAAAGAAATAGAAGTTTGAACAAAAGCCCAAGCTTCAGAGTGCTGGGGAATGTTGAGAAAACTTCAAGATATGACTCTGCTTTTCACCTATAAAACTTTATACCTGCCCAAAAGAAACAGAATGGAAACCACATATGCAATTTTAAATTTCTGGTGGCCACATTAAAAAAAAAAAAAAAAGACACAAGTGAAATTAACAACATATTATAATTAACTCCATATAGCCCTCAATATCACTATAACATGCAATCAATATAAAAATATTAGAACAGGGGTTCCTGGGTGGCTCAGTCAGTTAAGCATCCAATTCTTGTTTTCAGCTCTGTTCATCATCTTAGAGTTGCAAGATCAAGCCCCACATCAGGTTCCACACTCAGTATGGGGTCTGCTTGAGATTCTCTCGCCTCTTCCCCTCCCCCTCCAGCGCGTGCTCTCTCTCTCAAATAAATAAAATCTAAAAAAATTAAAAATATTAAAACAGGGGCAGCTGGCTGGCTCAGTTGGTAGAGCATGTGACTCTTGATCTTGGGGTTGTAAGTTCAAGCCCCATATTGGATATAGAGATTACTTACAAATAAAATCTTTAAAAAATTAATTAATCTAAAAAATTTTTAAATTTAGGGGCGCCTGGGTGGCTCAGTGGGTTAAGCCTCTGCCTTCGGTTCAGGTCATGATCTCAGGGTCCTGGGATTGAGCCCCGCTTCGGGCTCTCTGCTCGGCGGGGAGCCTGCTTCCCCCTCTCTCTGCCTGCCTCTCTGCCTACTTGTGATCTCTCTCTCTCTGTCAAATAAATAAATAAAATCTTTAAAAAAAAAATTTTTTTTTTAAATTTAAACATATATTCCTTTTTTGTACTGTCTTTGAAGTCTGGTGTGTGTTAGGCACTGTGAGCACATCTCAGTTCAGCCCAGCTGCCTTTTAACCCCATGTGGGCAGTGGCTGCTCAATGGAGTTGTGCAAGTCTAGGATATGAACTCTGAGAAACTCATCTCAGCCATGCCCTTCATTATTAATGAAAAAGGTTTTGGGTAAAAGGAAGCCTGGTATCTACTTCAAGAATCTTTTGGTAAAGCGAAAAGTCAAGTTCACTTCTTTGGGTCAATTATACTTTATATACCTTGGGTTTAGTTACAGTGTAGTGAACTTGAGTTCAGAAACATAGTCTCTTGAATGAGGCATGCTCTGCCTCATTCTTTCAGCATCCACGCCCCATGCCCCAGCATCAGGTGCAGAAAGACCTCTGCTCCAAATTAGGTAAAATGAAAATGTCCAGTCAACCAAAAGCCGTTATTATTAATAGACCACTGGCCAAATGATCAAGAAAGGAATGAGGGAGGGGCGCCTGGCTGGCTCAGTTGGTGGAGCATGCAACTCTTGATCTCAGGGTCTTGAGTTCAAGCCCCATGCTGGGTGTAGGGATGACTTAAAAATAAAATCTTAGGAGCGCCTGGGTGGCTCAGTAGATTGGGCCTCTGCCTTTGGCTCAGGTCATGATCTTGGGGTACTGGGATCAAGCCCCGCATCGGGCTCTCTGCTCAGTGGGGAGCCTGCTTCCCCCTCTCTCTCTGCCGGCCTCTCTGCCTACTTGTGATTTCTCTCTCTGTCAAATAAATAAATAAATCTTAAATATTTAAAACATAAATAAATAAAATCTTAAAAAAAAAAAAGGAATGAGGCTCTAGAAAAGAAAAAGAAAACATTTAATGTATTTCATCAAATTGAAGATGCTGTCAATTGTGAGGCACATCCTGACTGCAGAAATGTTGAAACGCAAAAAGCAACACACCTCTGAACTGAAGAAATGTGGCACAAATGTGCCTACTGTGTGTTGGCCACTAAGTGCTGTATTCAGTTAACAACTTACTGGAAAGAGGGATGCCTGGGTGGCTCAGTTGGTTAAGCAGCTGCCTTCGGCTCAGGTCATGATCCCAGCGTCCTGGGATCGAGTCCCACATCGGGCTCCTTGCTCGGCAGGGAGCCTGCTTCTCCCTCTGCCTCTGCCTGCCATTCTGTCTGCCTGTGCTTGCTCTCTCTCCCTCTCTCTCTGACAAATAAATGAATAAAGTCTAAAAAAAACACAAAAAAACAACTTACTGGGAAGAGAGTATTATTCCCATTTGCAGTCTGCCAAGAAAACTGAGGCTAAAGAGAGCTTCAGTGACTCACCGAAGTGCAAAACTGAGATTTGAACCCAGGCAACAGGCTCCTGAATGTGTTTTTTCTTTTCTAAGATTTTATTTATATTTTATTTATTTATTTGGCAGAGAGAGAGAAAGAGACCATGAGCAGGAGGGAGCAAGGGGAGGAGGAGAAGCAGCCCACACTAAGCAGGGACCTCCCCCAACGCAAGACTGGATCCCAAGACCCTGGGATCATGACCTGAGCTGAAGCAGACGTTTAACTGACTAAGCCACCCAGGTGCCCTGAATCCATTCTCTTAACCATCACATTTAACTCACGTTCACTGGAGAACAACAGACCAAATCTTAGGAGACCCTCCCCTCTGGGTGAGTTACATTGGGCTAGGGTACTGTCTCCAGCCCAGAGGCCCTTCTAAAGAAAGTACTGTTCTTCAGGATGCTCTAACATGTTCAGACAAAAATTAAAGGCAGAAATACTGCACTGTCTTCCCCCTTTCCAGGAGAAAAAGGCCAGGGGTCCCTGAGAACTACCTGCTCATTCCTGCTGAGACAGAAGTACTGAATGAAGAACAGCAGCATTTCCAGATGCTTCCCACCCCTGGGTATCTGTGCTGGGAATGGCTCACACCGGCAGACGGGGCATCACTTCTGTGAGGGCCAAGCCGACCCCCATGTGATACTAATCTGTCAGACTGGATGAGGACGGCCAAAGCTCGACATACAATTTTGGTCAGAATCTGGGAACCAAAGCCCAGGTTCTAGATGACCGTCTAAGGGCAGAGAGAATCCATTTCGGCTGCATTCTTCCAGAATGCCAGCCCCTCAAGCAGGTTACCCTTAGAAGGGACTAACTTCTCCCCTGCCTTCAAACTTCTGTAAAACAGGCACAAGTCTCTCAGTGACCTGCCGCATGGGGTAACTGGATAACAGACGAAAGCGGAGCCCCTGAAAGATCCCCCGACACAGTGGTCATGTGATTTCATCTCAAGACAGAATGTCTGAGGGGTCGAGACGGCAACCACGAAAAAGCAGGAGGGCTACACAAAGAACAGGCAGCTGGAGGGATTAAAGTTTATTTCTCATCTGATGGGATACAATGCTCTGAAAACACACAGGCCCCTGGCTGGCTGACTGGAAACACCACAGGCCCCAGGACAGGTGCCTACAGCTCTCCTGGAGCACAGAGCCTCAGGTTAAGGGGCAGATGGTGCATCTTAACAGCATCAACCAGAAAGCCCTGAAAAAGCTCTACAGAGCTTTAATTCTAGTTAGCAGGCTCAAATGTACTCCTAAATTACATGGATGCTATAGAACTCTTCCACAATGCCGAATTTCTAGGATATTTGTAAAAACGCAGATGGAGTTTAAATTCCTCTGCCTTTCTTTCATTAATTTATTTATTTGAGAGACAGAGTGAGAGAGAGCACAAGCAGGGGGAAGGAGGGAGGGAGAAGCAGACTCCCCACTGAGCAGGGAGCCTGATACGGGACTCGATCCCAGGACCCCAAGATCATGTCCTGAGCCAAAGGCAGATGCTTCACCTACTGAGCCACCCAGTCGCCTCCCATGTCCTTTAATTTTTTTTTTTTTTTAAAGATTTGACAGAGACATAGCGGGAGAGGGAACACAATAAAGAAACTGTCAGAACACATCCCAGGAGAAAAGTGCTAGGTTAACATTCCTCACAGCAGGTCTCTTTTCAGAATCGCAGGGATCCTTTGGTTTCTGACAATTAATCTGAACTCAGGTGGTTTAAAGCAGAGATTCTGAAAGCATGCATCCTAATTCCTCCTTTGGTTGACTGTCCTTAAATATTCTTATGCGGAGCTGACAAAGACAGCAGGATTAACAGCTTTAAAGAAAACACACTTTATTTACTGCAGCTCCAGAATATGCGCTCTTCCTGATAATGTTTGCCCAAAATATTCGGTATCATCTCAAGCCTGCACACTAACTAAGAGGCGCCTCACCAGAGAAGGGGCCTTTCCCAGACTAGAGAGTTCCAAAACAGACAGTGCTCTGAAGGGATGAAAAGCACAGGCCCTGGAATGATAGCTGCCAAGATGCCAAGACTCCAGCTTCAGGAAACTTAGAGGGCACCACCAGCTCACACACTTGGCAGAGAGACGGGAAGGGAACAGATTTCTCAAACCTCAGGCGCCATAAAGGCTGCAATATCCCCTTTGTTCATAAGCAGAATGAAGAAAGGGGTTAGGCTAAAAAGGACTTTAATGAGGAAAAACTGGTACCTGCCAAAGGTGTGCACTGCAAAGAGAAGCAGAGAAAGGCTCCAGGATGTCAGAGGAAAGACGAAGCCAATCTGCCCCTGAGAATGACCCTCACTTGTCAGAGGGGGAGAAAGGTGAAAACAACTGACGAGTGCTCCTCATTCAACCTCTGGCTTCCCCAGAGCTGCTCCAAGGCCACCCACCATCCCAGAACAAGAGGAGCCTAGAGGGTGGGCCTTCTCTCCCACTGGCTCCAACTTGCCCATCTTAAACCGAAGAGCAAAGTGCCCCCTCTCCAGCTGACCTCTCTCATGTTCTCTTTCTCTCTCTAATAAAAAAAACTTAAAAAAAAAAAAAAAAAAAAAAAGAGAGAGACCCTGACAGACCTTCCTCATAGTCAGAAAAGGGAAGTTAAAAAAAACAAAAACAAAAACAAAAGACAAAGCAGAGACTAAATCAGCATCCATAAAGTTGTTTCTGATTAAATCAAAGTGAAAGTGTCTTCCACACTTGCAGAAAATCAGGTATCATTCCTTCTTCTGTTATCAGCAAGGAAGCAGCCCACAAAAGACCTTAATAATGATCTTGAAACGTCACAGGCCCAGATAATTTGATGTTATGTGTGCAGGTGAAAGCAACCAGGTGTCTAGAAACCATCCTCTTTTCTGTTCTTCTAGTTTCTACTTACGAATTTAAACCTGTTACAAAGCCAAAGCCCACAAAAATGACCTTGAAGTAAAAAACTGGTGGGTTAGGGTCAAGTGGACCTAGCTCCCCAAGATAGGCCTACCAGAGAAAGTGGAATTTTGCTTTCCACGGCGCTCTGAACAACAGCCTTTGAATATTTCAAAAGGTCACTGAGAGCTGTGAGGCCAGCATCTAAGTACTCGGAGGGACCTCCGTAAGGATGAGACCCTTTCCTCAAAGTTTCCATATGCCCCTGTCTTTTTTCCAGCGGAGAACGCTGGCATTCGTGTCCCCTCCCCGATGTCCCGTTACCTCGTTTGAACTCCTCCAGGACAGCGTCCAGCTTGGTGTCGTTGAAGACGAAGTGGAGCGGATGGTTGTAGAAGCGGGTGATGGTGCTGAGCGGCGTGCAGTCTTCGGGATCTACGAAGGCCAAGTCCTTGAGATAGAGCATGTCCACGATGTTGGAGCGCTCCTCCTCGTACACTGGAATGCGCGTGTGGCCGCTCTGCATGATGCTGGCCAGGACGCCGAAGTCCAGCACGGCGCTGGCGTCCAGCATGAAGCAGTCCTCGAGCGGCGTGAGCACGTCCTCCACGGTCCGGCAGCGCAGCACGCCCTTGCTGAGATCGCTGTAGGGGTCGCCGCCGCCGCGGGCCAGCTCCAGCACGCGCTCCCGCAGCCGCCCGGGCCGCGCCGCCAGCTCCAGCAACTGGCCCACGGGCAGCGCCACGGGCAGTGTCAGCAGCACCGCGAGGCGGCTGAGGAGCAGCGCGCGCGGCGCCAGCGCCAACGTCCAGCGTCCGCTCACGGCAGCCGGCACCACCTCGCCCACCAGGAACACGAGCCCTGCGCTGCCCAGCACGGCGGGCACGGCGCGCTGGCCGGCCGCGCGGTACAATAGTACCGCCAGCGCCGCCTGCGCCAGACTGGCCAGTAGCAACAGCGCGCCCAGGGCGCAGCCGGCCCAGCGCCGCGCGGGCTCCAGGCGCCGCGCCGCCGCACGCTCGGCCTCCGAGCCGCTCTCGCGGAGCACCTGCACCTCGGCCGGCGCCAGCGCCAGCGCGCTCAGCTGCAGGCCCCGCGCCAGCGCCGCCAGCGCCAGCAGCCCCGCCACCCCCAGGCCCAGAGCCCAGGGCGGCGCCGCCTCCTCGGCTGCCGCGCCGCCTGGCTCCACGCGCACCGCCAGCAGCGCGGAATGCGGGCGCACGGCCTCGGCGCGCAGGCGCAGCAGCGCGCTCCACTCGCCCGCAGGGGCCACCGCCTCCTCGACCGCCGACGCGTCCCGCTCCCCGCGCACCGCCAGCAGCGCCGAGTGCGGGCGCGCGGCCTCGGCGCGCAGGCGCAGCAATGCGTGCCACTCGCCCGTGGGGGCCACCGCCTCCTCGGGCGCCGCGGCCGGCCCGCCCTCGGGGCAGCCCGCCCCCTCGGGGGCCACCCAGGACCAGGAGCTGTTGGCCAAGCCGGAGCCGAAGAGGCGTAGGCGGAAGGTAGCCTCCCGTGCAGTCCGCACCTCTTCTCCGCGCTCCCACCCCACGTCCGCGGCTCCGTCCTCCTCCAGACAGACGCCCAACACTCGCGGGCCCGACGCCGCCTCTACGGCGGCGTTGCCCAGGCACAGCGCGGCGAGCAACCAGCCTAGAGGACCCGCCGCCGCCGCCGCCGCCATCGCCTGCTGCCCCCTCTCGGCCTCCCGCGCAGCCTACCCCTCCGCCTCCCCCGGACCAATCGTCGCTAGCCTTGGCGCCTCCTCCGCCAATAGGCGGCGGACGGGGGCGGGCCCCAGGGTCGGACTAGGCTGCGCCGGGGAGTAAACAAGCCGCGGCGCGATACCGGGGCGGGCCGGGGGCGTGGGGCTCTCGGCCCCGCGGGGCTCGGCTGTGACTCCTAGGGCGAGAAGGGGCTAGCGCCCGGACGCGCGGAGCGTAGAGTTGGGCGTCCAGTTCCCACAGGCCGTGCCGGCGAGCCTGGAGGCCGCACTTGTCCCTGAACCGGGGCGCGGAGCGGAGCGGCTTCCAGGCAGTGTTCAAGTGTGTGTCAGATGGACCGTTTCCTAGGAAAAGGGCCCCGTGAGCCACGGCATAGGCGCCAGGAGAGCTGAAACCACCGATGACGGGACGTTGGGAAGGTCAAGTTTCCTGAAGATTGTGCCCGACTGTGCTGTACGTCTGGGGACGTGAGACACAGCCCTTTGCCTTCATGGAACTTGAATTCCTGCCAGGGAGAACGATGGTAATGATGTAAATACGGGAAATCACTACCTCATTGGACCCTCATAGTTCCTTTTACAGGAAAAAAGTGAAGCATGACTTAGCACGGATGCAGGATTCCAACACGACCTGCCTGGTCACTATCTCAGCCACGTTAGCAGAGGGCAGCTCTGTCCGAAATTACTGTTACCTGGTCACTCCACTTCCAGCAGTCCTTGGGAAAATATTTCCGCGGGAACAACAAGAACTATTCAAGAGGATCCTCACTGGAGAGTTATTTTAGAAGACAGTGTGGTTCATTGACAGGCTGAAATGTTTTTCACCCATCGTATATGATCTCTGTAAGATTGGAAGTAAATAGAAAAACCTAACAAGGCTTTTCTACAGGGATCCAGATTGTTTTTTAGTTTTCTTTACATTTTTATGTATTTTCAAATCTCCTAACAAAAGTAGACTTTTGATAAGGGTGCTCATATACATGTCATTTAAGTTTTTCCTAAGGAGTCTACGGAAATACATTTGCTAGGTCATGAATAAGAAAAAATAAAGGCACTGTGGCCACAGTTAAAATCTGTAGAAGGCAATGTGCCAAAATGAGCAAATCCATGGCAAATGACCAAATACAAACAAACAAACAAAAAAACCTCTGTGGAAAAACTCTTCAAAGGATGCTAAGAATGTCTCTTCAATGTCATAAATTCAGCGCTGTGACTCAGTCACATCTCCACGTTTTCAACTTTTATTTTCTAGAGGGTGCTACACCTCACTGGCAGATTACAGAATAAGCCACCAGCAGAAGCAATAATGACACTACTGAGTCTTTACACTGGATCAGCATGACTCCTTTGAAGGAAAAAGAACTATGGATTCAGCCCCTTTGGTTCACACGTCTGTTTCCAAGTCCAGATAAAATGCTGACACTGAAATAGAATGGATGACATACTTGAAAGTTAAGTGCCTGAAAAGTTATTAATTAGCAAAGAACAGTTCCAGAGCAAAGACAGGAAAAATTCCCTATGGATCTGGTCTCAGGCACCCTTGGAGAACAACCGGTCATTCATTTTTTGAGCAAATCTTTGGGTAGGACAACTGGATCACACTTGGAAACACAAATGGTCATTTAAACTGTGATACCCAAAGACAGAAAGAATCCAATAGGGCAAAGTTGCTCAAGGAGCGATTTTCTGTTAACAATAGAGGCCTCAACAGTACTTCTCCAGCTTCTTTCTTCATTGGTTCTGCACCATTCTTTACCCTCCATCATGGGTGGTAATTGGATCAATGGGTGGTCATTGCATCAATTCAGACACATACCACTTGACCTTCAATCCCTCGTTGACCCACCCTGGGCCATTTTCCTCACTGTTCATTTGGTTCAAGACCTTTGCATGTTTCATCTCAATACAATTCTTGAGTTTTAAACTCGTTTTAACTACTGTGACTTCACTGAGCTAATTCCTGTTTATTTCTCAAGTCTGCAAGTGTCACTTACTCCAGCTGGTCTTCCTCAACCATCTTGACTAGGTTGGGTCATAGTTATGGGAGCTATGTGCTCTTCCTTAATAGCATCCAGTACTTACCTTTTTGTAAGACCCATTCACTCATTCATTCAACAAGTGTTTCCTGCAATGTACCGTGTAACATTCTCACGCTGGGAGTATGCGGGAACGAGAAAGCCCCCTGCCCTGCCAAAGCTTTGGTTCTAGCCTGGGAACGACAATATACAAATCCTCATTTTAATATCCAATGATAAGTGCTATGGAGAAAAACAAAGCAAGATAAGGAAGTGGACAGAGGGAATGGGGCCATGCTGTTTTAAATGTGCTGACCAAGGAAGTCTTCTCCAAGGAGGTGACATTTGACCAGAAGCTTAGATGAAGTGAGGGAGTGAGCCTCACAAAGACTTGGGAAAAGAGTGTTCCATGTGGAAGAGACAGGAAATCAAAAGGTCCTAGTGTGACTGTCTCCCTCGGGGGCTCTTCCTCACTATACTCACTGTGGGGGTTGGTGGCACCTGGCATGTAGCAGGGGCTTACCCATGTGTGGAACATATGGTCAGATGAAATTTATTCTCGTGTCCACCTGCTTTTGCATCTGTTATTTTATCTGCAGTGTTCTTTTTTCTCCCTAAGTGCATCCCTTTCGTTAAACATTAGCCCCAGTTTGTCCACTCTGGTAAGCCTGGCTTACTTGGCCCCTGCCCCCAGCACACTCCATCACACACTGTAGCCACAGTACTTATGGGCACCGTGCGAGTGCACACAGCAGAAACCTCAAGAGTCGACGCTGTGCGGTGACTCTCAGGTGTACTCTTTAGGGGTTGAACTGTCCCAACTTTGAGACCACCACGGGCTCATGAGCAAGGATGAAAAGGCAGCTGGATGTTATGAAACAACATGAAACTGTGGGATCAAGCTCCTTTCTCCTTCAGCCCCCAGGGGGAGAGAAGGGGCTGTCTTCCCCCTCTAATTGCCCCCTCCAGTACCTGCAGGCAGAAGACTAGGGTTATCCATTTTTACAAATTCCTAATTGTGGCAGTGGAGCACACTTATCCATCTTACAGCAGCTGCCACTCTCTAACTCCTGGGACAACAGCCTTGATTATATGTATTTTGTAAATTTCATTTCTGCTTCCTGTTAAACAGTCCCAGAATACTTGCCCCTTGCCCTGTCATAGGTTGACAGCGAACCCCAGCCATCATCTCGACGATAGATACCGAATACCAACCAAACTCAAACAGGCAAAACTGTAGACTCACCAAGACTTCATATTTCATTTTTTATTACCAATCAAAAATAAATTCCATATATTGTTTAGCAAATATTATCATTGTCTTGTGACAAAAGACACAAGAGTCATAACAACAAAACTCCCCGAGAGTCAAACTCATAACAATGCCAAAATAAATCACAAAAATATACAAATTAAAATCTTATGCAAAATAAATATGAGTTATTCGCTATGGTGGCTGTGACTTGCCTACCCACTTGGAGGCCATCTGCGAAGGTCTCCCTGACCTGGGAAGACACGCAGGGGTGGGCCAGCTCCAGGGTACAGCTCGACCCAGGAACCAGAGGTTGGAATAGGAAGTGAAAAATTGCACTAGGAGGAGGAAGTCATGGGACCAGTAATATTTGGAAATCATTATGACCCTCTGCAAGAAGTGATTGTAAGTGGGGAAAGGGAGAGGTTGAGGGCCCATGTGTTGGTAGTAACTGTGTGTGCAAAGAGGTAGCTGTGGAAGTGTGTGCACCTGCTCCTTTCACTTCACACACTCACTTGGTTCAGGCCAATGCACTCTGCTCCACCTGGCACTCAGGTCTCTCAGGAACACAGCTTTGCAAGCTCCCATGTGGACTCAGAAAGCAAGCTGCTCCTAGAAAACTGAGGGGTTTCCCCCCACAGGGAATAAAGGTCTGTTTTGTTTTTCTTTTTCTCATGACTGAGAACCCATGTCACTACCTTCTCTCCAGACTTTGAGGAATAAATTCTGTGACTAGGGGAGACTTCAGAACTGGCCAGGGGCAAGCATACTTGGTGCAGACACTTCCTGGTCCCAAGAGTTAACATTTTCCAGGCGCCTGAAGAACGGAGTACTTGGGGTGACAGAAGTCACTGTGAGAAAAGGGTCAATAAATACTACTTAGATGGAAGGTGTGCAGTCTCCCTTGCCTGATCTTGGGCCCCCAGCAAATGTTCCACCCGACAAAAGGGCCAGCATGGACCTTAGCCCCACAGGCTCCCCAACAGTGGCAAGCCTGGAGCTCTGCAGCAGGGCCTCATTCGCCCCAGGGAAAAGAAACTGGGGCAGAATTTCACGTGGGGGCAGAGCTTCAGCAAAGGCCAGGATGACAACTCAGGCTAGGATTACAAAGATGGGGGAAACAGGGCTGCCAGCTGTGTGCCTTTTAGGTGGAAACCTCCTTTCCTGGGTTTTTAAGTGTGTGAACAAGGTTGGGTAAGCCTCAGCCACAGAGGAAAGGGCATGAAGAATTTGCTTAGGTTGTCTTCCTATGTGTCCTGTTGTCCTCAATCCAAGAGGCAATGGGGATTCAGGATGAGAAGTAGGGAGTCTGGAAAGAAGGACTTCATAGCTCAGTGACTGACACCTGACTTTCACTGTGGGGTGGGAAGGAGGATGGTCTTAACTGCTAACAACACAGAGGCCCATGACCAGATTCCCTCCTGGAACTGAAAGGAGTATTTCAGACAAGTCACCCGTAACGTAGATGTTCTCCCACCTAGGGGGAAACCTTTGGTAAAAGTAAGGGCAGGGCCTGGGGAGCAGGGGTAAGCAATCTTAAAGGTGTAAGACCCTGCTTAACACTCTGAGTCAAACCAGTAGAGACAGGGGTGAGAGTCCTCAGCCTAGCCCAACTCACCAGGAGAGCTCATCAGCCGAGTTCTAGGAAATTCCAGGATCCAGCAGTTGACAGGAGTAGGTGTGCTCCTCTCTGTAGCTGGGAGTACCATGTCCCTCATCACAGTTACCCAGAATCCCTCGGCCTCAGTGACGTCAAACAAGCCTCAGTGCACGCGTCCAGCCAGTTGTTCTCAGCGCTATTTGGTTCTTTGCTTCCTGGAAGGAACTGTCTTCCTCCCAAGAGAAAAACCTTACTCCAGCAGGCCTCTGGGATACCATCTTTGGAGGAGGAGGAGGAAGAGGAAGGGGAAGAAGAGGAAGAGTAGGCTCCCTGAGACAGGGACGTAAGCCAGAAGGTCATGGCTGGGAGCAGATTATGGCTATTGCTTCCCGGGGTGAGAAACCCTACCCCTTTTAATTAAAGTTATTGTGGAAAAAAAAATTTTTTTTTGTTTTAAATAAAGTTCCTTAACCCTGTCTTCCCCTTCCCCATTCCTTTCCCCAAACAATATTTAAAAAGAGGAGCAATGAGCCTAGTTCAGAAATTCTCTCAGTAAAAAACAGCCTTGCTCGTGGTAGCTGGGCCACTGCCCTGCCAGTCCTGGGCTGGACAGCCACTACTTCGGAGCTATTCAGAGGTCCCTGTCAAGAGGCCAGAACTCCCCACATTCTGGGGGCCATGTGGCTGCTCCATTAGACAGGCTATCTGCACCCCTTCTGGCCTACAAGGCTCACTATCTTCATGTGGGCCCACTGGGGAGACCCCCGCAGGGATGGCGGGGGGCCCCGGGCCCTCCTGTCAGATGGCGCTCTCATGGGAGGCTTTGTGCAGTAAAGAGTTGCGCTCATTGAGAAGAGTTGTGGTCTCATCTACCACGGGCAGCTCGGGCTTCCCGGCTAAGTTCTCCGTGCAAATGGTGCAGCCATCCAGGGGAAACTGAGGGCAGTTCTCCATGCGTGAGGCCAGCAGCCCATTCTGGTACTGTTGCCGGGTGATCTGCAGGAAGAAGGGGTGAGGTTCACAGAGAGCGGGGACAGAGGCAAGCCTTACGAGACCAGGGAAACGAGGCTGGCCAGGGCTGGGGCTGGGGGTCTGGAAGAGAGGACGTGCCCAGCTGGAGAGAGTGAGGAGCAAGAATAAGGAAGACACACGTCTCGGGTCTGGGCCTTCTGTGCCCTGTGTGGGGGGGGTGAAAGAAAGGAGCTGCTGATGCCTGAGGCACAGTGATCCAAATGGCAGGGATGGGGAAGACTGCGCTGCCTGGAGGGAGAGACACAGGAAGCACTCACCTTAATGTACTGGAGGTCCATGAGCGCCCGGACACTGAAGTCGGAGATGTACTGGCCCAGGACAGAGCTGCCGAACTGGTTGGCGCTGGCTGCCAGGGTGGCCGCGCTCGAGAGATCCGTGCGCTCCGGGTAACTGAGGGAGGCTGAGCGGCTGAGGGTGCTGGGGTGGGCCGGGGAGTGGTCTGTGGGGAGAGACACATGGTCAGGCCAGGGGGTTCCGGAGCCCTCACAGGGGCCCCTCTTGTGCCCCAGACACACAGGTCCGGGGCCCCCACCAGAACGGAGCAGTTCTAAAGGACAGACAAGCTCCAACTGCAGAAAGTCTGGCCTCCTTAAAGCAAGTGAGTTAGTTTGTTTAGAGGGGTTGTGCAGTAACTATTAAAAAGCCTACCAAAGCAGAAAACCAAAACCAAAGACACAAAATCTAGGTCTCCAGATCCCCTCATTTCCCCCCACAACTCATTAGTCAAGGGTGACACCATGATTACCCCTCACAGTGGACCAGACACTGTCCTTGTTTCCCAAAGCAGCTTGTATCAAGGGACATATACTGCACACTTTTACATTAAAAAGAACATAGAGTTTGTACCCTATGACTCATCCACACACCTCTCAACATGATGCCCTAGTCACATCTTAACATGATTGTCACAGGTCAGAAGTGTGTTCTGCACGTGACCCGCTCTGTATGGACCAGTCCTGCCCACTTGTGTCTGCCGGGCCCCTTGTCAGTCTGACAAGGGGGACAGGGGCAGCAGGTCCCTCTCACAGGAGCCTAGAGCCCCAGGAGCACTGGGCCTCCCACACCAGCCAACGGTTCCTTCCACATCCCCCTGCCCTGAGGCAAAGCCTGGGGGAGTAGGGAAGGTGCTCCTTCCCGCAGGGACAACAGGGCCTCCGTGCATCGCACTGTAAGGAACGGGGATGATGCAACCACAAATGAGGAAGAGCAGCCTCCTTATTTTTAGAAAGGAACGGTATACAGACTGCATATCATTAGCTCTTATTTTTGAGAACACTTAGAAAACAAAACAATGAAATGCACGAAGAAGTTAATCGTGAAGGCATGCTGGCTTCTTTTAAACAAATAGGAAGTGGAATAGGCTTATTTACTTAGTTGAGCACTAAGTTACTAACTAACTACTAAGTTAGCTACTCCCACAAACAGTGAAGAGAGATGAACAAATGGTGAAGAGAGCAAACATCACGAAGCCAGGTGACCGAATGACCAATACAGCTTTAACTGAGTGAGACTGAACTGAGTAATACTCTGTCTTTGAGCTTCATTCCTAGAACTAGGAAAACATAGTCTGGATATCCTATGACTGGGCAGTATACGATCACTAGAAGATCACAAGTGTGTCACTTATCCCAACTTAAGTAATACCTCTGATTAAGTTCTAGAAAAGGAACACAAATACTATGAATATTATCTAATACTTCACATTAATCATTTGGATGATGATGGACTGCTTTTAACGAATACTTATGAACACTCCAGAATCTGAATTAAAAAACAACAAATTAGGAGCGCCTGGGTGGCTCAGTGGGTTACAGCCTCTGCCTTCGGCTCGGGTCATGATCTTGGGGTCCTGGGATCGACCCCGCGTCGGGCTCTCTGCTCAGCGGGGAGCCTGCTTCCTCCTCTCTCTCTCTGTCTGCCTCTCTACTTGTGATTTCTGTCAAATAAATAAATAAAATCTTTAAAAACAAAAACAAAAACAAATTAGTGACATGGCCTTTTAAAAACAGACACCCTAAAAAGACATACACCCAAATACGAAACCTTTGTTTCTGAACAATAGTATTATGATACTCCTTCATTTTCTTTCCTAAGATTTTATTTATTTTAGATGGAGAGAAACAGTGCTAGCAGGAGGGGCAGAGAGAGAGATAATCTCAAGCAGACTCCACGCTGAGCATAGAGCCCAATAAGGACCTTGATCCCAGGACTCTGAGATCATGACCTGACCTGAAACCAGGTGCCAATCACTTAACCAACTCTGCCACCCAGGCACCCCAATATTGCTTAATTTTCTTAATTTTTTCCCTTTCCTCAATTTTCTAAATAAGCTATATTGCTTTTATGACTGAAACTGAACTATAAGGTGTGCCTGGCTGGCTCAGGCTGTGGAGCGTGTGACCCTTGATCTCCAGGTTGTGAGTTCGAGCCCGTTAGGTGTAGATATTACTTGAAAACGAAATCCAAAGCACCCTGGTAGCTTAGCTGGTTAAGATTCTGACTCTTGATTTTGGCTCAGATCATGATCTCAGGGTCATGAGATCAAGCCCCATGTCAGGCTCCATGCTGGGTATGGAGACTGCTCAAGATTCTCTCTCTCCCTCTCCCGATGCTCCTCCCCTACACTTGCTCACTTGCTCTCTCAAGAAAATAAAAATAAACTGGGGCGCCTGGGTGGCTCAGTCGTTAGGTATCTGCCTTTGGCTCAGCTCATGATCCCAGTGTCCTGAGATCGAGCCCCGCATCAGGCTCCCTGCTCAGCAGGAAGCCTGCTTCTCCCTCTCCCATTCCACCTGCTTGTGTTCCTCTTTCACGGTGTCTCTCTCTGTCAAATAAATAAATAAAACCTTTAAAAAAAACAAAAATAGGGGCGCCTGGGTGGCTCAGTGGGTTAGAGCCTCTGCATTCGGCTCAGGTCATGATCCCAGGGTTCTGGGATCAAGCCCCGCATCGGGCTCTCTGCTCGGTGGGGAGCCTGCTTCCCTTCCTCTCCCTCTGCCTGCTTCTCTGCCTACTTGTGATCTCTGTCTTTCAAACAAATAAATAAAATTTAAAAATAAAAAATAAAAAAATAATAAAAATATAAATTAATTTAAACCTTAAAAAATAAAATTAAACAGAGTAATAAATGTGTAAAAAAGATAGGGGTTTTTTAACTTAGTAATTCCATTTCTGAAAGTGTATCCTAAGGATATAATCTTTTTTTTTTTTTAAAGATTTTATTTATTTATTTGACAGAGATCACAAGTAGACAGGCAGGCAGAGAGAGAGAGAGAGGGAAGCAGGCTCCCTGCTGAGCAGAGAGCCCGACGCGGGACTCGATCCCAGGACCCTGAGATCATGACCTGAGCCGAAGGCAGCGGCCTAACCCACTGAGCCACCCAGGCGCCCCCTAAGGATATAATCTTAAACACAGAGAAAGTTTTTTCATAAAGAGGTTTACATCATGGTGTTATATAGAACACACACCACAAGGACTGTCCATAAGGGGGGATAACCAATGAAGGCACATGTGCTTGGGGGAACACTATGGCTCCAACAAGAAAGTTGGATCTCTGCTCTTGTATTAGGTAAAAACAGCAGGACCCAAGCCATGGAAACACGAACCCCTGGTCAGTATGAAACAAGAGCAAGTGCGGAAGAGAGAAGGAGGCTGAGGGTGTTGGCCAAGGAAGACCAACATGGTCCACAGACATCACCCACTCAAATGCCATTAGCAGCTTCCCACTTCCTACCACAACCAGAAGCTGGCTGTCTGAAAGGGACAAGGGACTTCTAATTCACCTTTTTACTTTTTTTTTTTTTTTTAAGAGAATCAAGAGAGAAGTGTGCTTTGGTACAGTTGAGAGGGAGAAAAAAGCCAGCTGTACGAATATAAAATGGGAAATGACAGACTCTGCGGATAGGTTTTTAGGACTGTCAAAGGCTTAGAACTTCTTTAAGTTACACACTGAGACTGGAGCCCGAAGGCACTTGGCAATGCTCTTAACCTCCTCAGGGCTCAGCAGGCCAGTGTTCTGATGGGAAGACCAGCACTTTCTGCCACCCTCTGCTGCCTCCATATAAGTGGGACCGAGTCGAACAACACAGCTGCCAGCAATCCTGGGATAAGGCTCAGGAGTGTGGTGTATCAAAGGCCAGAAACAGCATGTGGCATTGGGCCTTTTCCTCGATACTTTCCAACTGGAATGTCACATTTTAGTTGTAACCAAGAAAAAAAAAAAAGAAATAAAAACTTAGCTCTAACCGAACATTCCCTACCTATTCTCTCATTGCCCTGACAATTTTAAGAAGGGGCCACCATGTATTGTTCCCATTACACAAGAGGGAACAAAAGACTGAGAGGAAGTCAGCTCCTGGAATCCTGTTAACTGGCAAGCGCAAAGACAGCACTCAGGCAGTCTGCCCAGGGCCGCACTTCTGATGCCTGGCGGCTGCCTCCCCTAACAAGCAGACACCCCAGCAACAGAATGAAGAGCAAAGCCTGGGAAGAAAGGAGGCAAGTTTTTTAGAGAAAGCTGATGAGATGACAAGGCATCCTGATGTCTGTGAGTGGCCTTGATCACAGGGGTGTGCAAAGGCTGGGCTCACTTGGCCCGGCCAGAAGTAGTAACACTCCCTTCCCACTCTAGCTGTGTGTCTGTGCGTGCGCGTGCATTGTGTGTGCATGTGTGTTCTCAAGGACTGAGGACCTCTGGGGAAACGCTTCCAGGACCAGGGCAAAGCCACCCGGTACCTGGGCCCGCTGCCAAGCAGAGCCGGTGCAAATCAGGCTAGCCCACAAGCGTGAACAGGTGGAATGGCCCAAAATGCGGGTGGGGAGCCCCAGCGGCTGCTGGGAGAGGTTAATAGAGCTGTGGTATGTGGGCTCAGGCAACAGGTGGCAGCACAAACTTCTCCAGCCATGCTGTGTTACCTGAGAGCCAGGACAGCAGGGAGTTCCGCTTGCCAGGCGGACACCTGACCTGGGTTGAAGGCACTGGAGCAAAAGAGGAGAAGGTCAACGATGGGTAGGGTGAGGAGGCAGAACATGGACCCACAGGAACAAGATGGAGAAGCAGATCTGTTGGGGGCCAGTGTCCCTGGGAGGGAGGGGCACAGTGGACTCTGACAGGGAGGAAGCTTAGGGCAGACCAATGAGCGCTGCTACTCAAAGAGGGGCTGAGGATCCCACAGTGAAGCTAGAGCGGCCCTCCCCACCCCCGGCTGAAGTCATCTCCTCTCCCTTTTGGCCAATCCAAGTGGGACCTGAGTGCCTCTAGCTCAAAGGATGGAGCTAAGGACCCAGACCCAACCTCTGAGGCATCACTGCAGAGAGAAAGTGCCTCGAAGAAATGTCCCATGACCACGTGCCCTCCTGGACAAGACTTTCCCCAGCTGGCTGGCAAGAGGTGCTCTTGGGAGGGGCCGAAAACTTCTCCCTAGGCCAGAGACATCCAGGCAGGGGTCCCCTGCTCCAAAGCCCAGCTCTGGAGTCTTGTTTTCTCACTGCTTCCTCCTGGAGCCTGCTCATGCTGGGAGAGGGGCAGAGCTGCATCACACCAGCCAATAAGCTGAGCTATATCAATATACAGGGGGTCCTGGCCCCCTGCGCTCAGGGTCCTCTTTGTCAAAAGACAGCAACAGGCATAACACAGAGGATCTCCAAGAGCCACACACACCTCAGTGTGTGGCCTGTCCCCCCGCCACAAAGTGGATTTTCACTTTCTGGCCTGCAGCAACCTGGGGCCCCACTCAAGGCTCAGAAGGGCCAGGCAACTAGCAATGAGCTGATCTCGCAAGACTTGGGTCTTGCCTGCAGAGTGCCCACTCCAGCCACAAGGCCCCTCTGGCAAAGAGAGCCTGAGCCGCCAGGACTAGAGAAGCAGAAAGCACTAGGGTGGCCAGAGTGCCCCTTCCCTGGACTTCCCACAACTCTCTTGCAGGGCGTGTCCAGTCCCCTCTTTGCCCCAAGTCCCTTCATGCCATCAGAACCAGCCCTTAACCAAAAGGCAGTGGCTAAGCCCCCTGAAAAGCCAAGCCCATCCGCACCCTACCTGACAAATAGGCCCTGCCCTGACTCCCTGGATCCAGGCACCCTGGATGCTCTCACTCCTCACCTCTATTCCCCTGCCCCAGTCTCTGTGAGCAAGACCCTGTAGCCTCCGTCACCTGCCGTCTCTCACTCTTCCCGCTGCTACGACTACTTGCCCAAATGGCCAAGTTGCTATGGTATGTCCCCCTGCTCCAAGGCCATTCATGGCTTCTTGCTTCCTATCGCAACCAAACGCCAGACACTTTCTGGGGCTCCCCAACATGTCCTTACTCCCCATGGTCCACCCCCTCCCACCCCTGAAGGCTCTGGTAGGCTGGTCTCACATCTCAGAACATGCTCTCAGCTCCCTACAGGCTTTGGCTCAGATTCCCCTTCCCATCTCTTCTTCCCCACTCTTGGAATCCTGTCCAAAGGGGCCAGGCCCTGCTCTTCCGGACCGCCTCCACTAGGCCCTGGCAGCTCTGGCCCTCACTGGCCTCCCTCTCCTCTGAGTCACCTGGACGGCCCTAGACTCTGGGGTATCAGTCCAAGTCTCCCCCCAATCCAGATATGCTGGAGAGCAGCATGGAGGCAGCCCAGCTACTCACCAGAGGTGGGCGAGGACAGGGCCATGGTCCCGTAGTAGGAGAAGGCACCTGTCTCAAACTTCATGTTCTCCTTCCCGGCCTCCACCTCCACCTTCCCCTGGAAGAACACAGGGTCAGGGTGACAAACAGCCTGAGAAGGAAAGCCCAACTGAGGGGGGGAAAGGACAAGGCAAGAGGGAGAAGTGAGGGCGAGGAAGAGTCGGTTCCAGAGCCCTGAAGGCACTCAGGCGCTCTGACCCAGAGGCTCAAGGGTGGCCTCTCGGGAGGAGGACAGGCAAAGGGGGAGCAGAGGCTCGGGGGCAGGCCGCACGGGGGCAAGCCCCGCATCCCCCAGCCAACTCAGCAGGTGAGGAGGCAGAGCGGGCACAGGAGGGCGGGCAGGGAGCAGGCCGCCCACCTGCAGGATGAGGATGAAGTAGTCGGCCGGCTTATTCCGGGTGTACAGGTAGTGGCGGATGTAGTATTTGTTGTGCTCATCAAACTTGAGTTCCTGAATGACATCTGGGTACTTGAGCAGCCGCAGCAGGATCTTCTCTGATATCAGAGAGGGGCTGAACTGGGGAACCTCTGTTGGAAGAAAGACGACAATGACTTCATAGGGGGCCTGGTTGGACTGCACCAGGAACACGGTCACTGTGCTTGCTCGCTGCCCAGGCCCTCCTTCCCCTCAGTTCTGCACCTCTGTGGGAAAGCAGCACCTCTTGGATCCAGACTGGTCAGACTCGAGTCTGCCTGCCTAGGCTGGAACAGCGGCTCCCACACTGGGCGCACATGACCTGGGCAAATTACCTAACCTGTGTCTCAGTTTCCTCATCTGTAAAATGGGGATTAAAAACTTCTTAGGGTTGGGGACCTGGGTGGCTCAATCAGTTGAGTGTCTGACTCTTGGTTTTGGCTCAGGTCATGATCTCAGGGTGGTAAGATTAAGCCTGCATCAGGCTCCACAGCCAACTTGAGAGTCTCTTCCTCCCCCTCTTCACCCTCTGCCCCTCCCCCACTCATACTCCCTCCCTTTCTCAAATAAATAAAACTAAAAAAAAAAATTCATAGGGTTGGGGCACCCGGCTGAGAGCATACGACTGGCAAGAGCATAGGACCCTTGATCTCGGGGTTGCAAGTTAGAGCCCATACTGGTATAGAGACTCCTTAGAACAAAACAAAACCAAACAACAACAACAACAACAAAAAAACAAAACATCTGGTAGGGTCATGGTGAGGTTAAATGGTAATACATGTAAAGCACTTAGACACATGCTTGGCATATGGAAAGCGCTTCATAAATGTTAACCATCATTATTATCATTAGCACCATCATCAATGCCCTGGCAAGAAAAACAAAGAATTAACACCCTTTAGCAAGTGAGGGTTGGGAAGAAAGTCAGATTTGGAGGGAGGGAGGAACAGGCAGGAGCTTTTCAAATCAATCACCCAGGTCCCCAAAGGGGCTTTGAATCAGGGGTGAGAAGAGAGGAATGTCACTGATCTAGAGGTCAAGTCCTGCTGGCAGCACATGCAGGCAGAGGGGAGGGGGGAGCGATGAGAACAGAACTGGATTCAGGCTATGAGTGCATGAGCCAGACAAGTGCTGTGGGCCCACAACATGTGTAAGGGCTTCCTTCGCCCTCCTTCTCCCCAGCATCCAGGGGCCTGGGGAACCCCAGTGCCCACCTCAGGTACTCCTAATGGTTCTTTTTTTATTTCACCTTCCCCACTCTCTTGGTGTTTATTTTCAGAACCTGAATGCTTCCCAGAATTTTGCAATGACAACCCATCAACAGAGAAAACAAACCACCACAGGGAGCGCCCCAGGGATGGAGGGAAGCCACCTCGCTCCCTTTCAGAGGCAGCCACGTTTCCCCTGCACCTTTCAAATAGCCAGAGGCCAAGAACTTCCCCTCCATGACTGTATCCCACCAACACCTGAGGGCCCTCCTCTTGCTCTTACCCGTGGCCAGGAAGCGATGAGCAGCCAGAAGTAGCTGAGGTGAAATTTTCACCTTGAGTTCATTGTCAGCATCTTTGAAGGCTGAGAAGTCACGTTTATTTTTCTCCGATACTCGTTTCCGGCTTCGGTTGTCGGCTGTAAGAGAAAGAATCTAGAACTGAGAATTCGGTTCCCCGTGACTCAGGAACACACTAGAACCTGAGCGCCAGCTCCCGGCTCTGCAGTCCCCTCTTCCACACACAAGCAGCACTGTCTGAATCAAGGCAGGCTCCCTGGCTCGATGCTGAGGCACCAAGGCCAGGGGGAGCAAAGATGTTCTCCTCTCACCGATCTGAGCAGCATGCCCAACGTTCACCCTGGCCAGTGTGAGGCACCCAGTTCCTGGGCCTCAGGGAGCTGGGCCTCCCACATCTCTGCACTGTGTGGCCTTCCTACACAGGGACACCTAGGGTGTGAGCAGGAAAAGGGTTCCAGGCCAATGGAAAGAATGGAACTCACTGTACATATCTGACTCGTCCAGGATCTCAGACTTGATGATCTCCTCTATGACGTCCTCCAGGGTGACCAGGCCCAGCACCTCGTAGAAGGGGTCACCTTCACCCTCGTTGTTCACCTTCTGCACGATGGCCAGGTGGGACTTCCCTTGGGGGATGATGCAATGAGTCAGACAAAAGCAAAGGGCCCAGTCATGAGACGCCTCCACCAAAATATTAACACATTTGGGGTCATGAGTCACTGGGGTGGGGTCATGGGTGTTTTTATCCCTTTTCTGTATTTCCTAAAGTTTCTGCTACAAACAGATGTTGCTTTTATGAAAAGGAAAACCAAAAGTACATTTTTAAATTTTAAGGCATTTCATCAAAGAGCTTTTGTTTCATTAGAATGAAAATGGCAAGGTCCTGCCTAGGTCTCCTGAAAGTCCTGGAGGAGGGAAAGACACACACTGACAAGCTGTGGACTGTGGAGCGATCGGTTGGAGACATGTGGGTGCCAACTGGACATGGGGTTCCTCAGATGGCCCATGCTGCCCATGGGGCCTCCAGGGCCACTCACACTCCTTCACCCTGCTCTCCTTGGCAAATGCCCCAGCATGTATCCAGGGCCATGATACTGCCCAAGGCAAAGGCTCTCAGTTCCCAAAACCATTAACAAATTAGCCCAGGCTGTAATTAGGCCAGGCAAGTACTATAATTAAAGAAGGGCCACCTCTTCAACCTAAAGAAGAGAAAGTCAGAAGGCAGAGGGAAGGGAGGAGGGACCCTCCACAGAAGTTTGTTGGGGGGGGCACGGCAGGTCTTTCCAGGCCCTTGCTTTGGGTTTCTACCCTGTTCCTGTGCCCCTCGTCCCAGTGGGTGACAGGAGGGAGACAGCCAAGGCTTGGCCCGCACTGCAGTTCGGATGGGCTGTGTAGCCCACACAGGGACCCAGATTTGGAGCAGCCAAAGGGAGAAAGTCCTGGGAGAGCTGAGAAGGTCAAGCCAGGGTCTCCTGGGCAGCTTCCCCTTCACAACTCAGTCTGAGGGCCCCACTCAAAGGACTTCTCTGGAGAGGGCGTTTTCCAAGTCTCCAAGGCCACTCCAGATCCCCCCAACCCCAGGATGTGCCCCTCAGAACTCCAGAAAGCTGCCAGTTCTCAAGACCACGATTTAAAAAAATGAAATAACAAAGATATAGGAGTACGCCACATGTGATGGGGGGCGGGGGACTGTTTTGTGCAACTTTCACCATCACGTGTCAGTCACTGTGGTACACTCATCTCCAGCTCTGAGTTATGGTCAAAAAACTTTCAGCACCTTGCTCGAACTATGCACCCAGACCAGACCTAGACAGAACCGTGTCTAGACTCAAAGACTTCCTAGTGTCTTCTAGACGGGGGCCGATGAGAGCAAGCGATCCGTCAAGGTCCTCCAGCAGGCCACAGCCCCTCAGAGCCAGGACCCTGGGGTCCGGCCCCCCAGGCCTCTCTGCCTGCTGGAGGCTGCCCACCCAGGAGTGCCTTCTGGAGAGAGAAATAATGCTCAGTCAGGAGGGAACCAGAGTTAAAACAAAGTCGCATTTACCACCTTCCAGACTGGCACGCTCTAAGACCACTAACACCCGATGCTGGGGGAAGCAAGACAAACAAGCACGCCCTCAGGTCCTCAGGTTGGTGGGCAGGTAAATGGGCACACTTCAGGAGGCCAATTTCGCAGCATGTCTCAAAACGAAAGGTCCCTAACCTTGGACTCAGATATTCCACTGGCAGGAAGCTGGATATAATCGTCTCCAAAGCAGAAAAGGCACAAAAGCAAAGAGGTTCGACAGAACCTTGTTTTTAACCACCTCAAACCAGAAACTACCCACATCAATAGCAATGGAGCAGGAGTCCTGCCACTGCTCCGGGGAGAAAGCAGCAGGGAACAGACAGACAGAATGTGGAATGAAGCCCGACACAGGCTGCTGGTGGAAGAGCGAGCAGAGGGACAGACTGCATGGTGCCTGCTGGACTGAGGGTTGGCAGGGGTTGTGAACTGCCCTGAAGTGCATGGAAGAGTAACAGTGGTCACCTCCCAGGTTAAGCAGAGTTTGGGGGAGGGGCCCTTGTACCCCATATGCTGTCCTCTTCTAATTCTGTTCTGTTTGATGGTCTCTAGAATTTTTTTAATTGAGAAAAAATCAGGGGAAACACATAATTAAGGAGAACAAACAAAGGGAGACGAGTGAGTGTCCAGGGTGAGCAAGGACCCTCTGTGCCTAAACCGGCATAGACCAAGTCCCGGGGAATGGGGTGCATCTGAACGTGGCTCAGTTAGCCAGTGCCTAGCTCAGAGCCTGGAAGTCAGAGTCCCTACGCAGAAGGGACATAGCTTCAATAACCTGAGAAAAATGTCCTCCTCCCCACTGAACCTCCAACGAACCAACAAATCCTGACACACAATCACAGGTCACACTGGACCACACCAGGAAAGGCTGATGGCTTCCCTAAAGGACAGAAACATCCGTCCTACGAAGGAAACACGTGGACTCCTTGAGCCCAATCTTGGGGCCGCTCTCAGCCCTGGGGCCCTCTTTCTGAGGCTCCTTTGTGTGTGGTGTGAGGGGGACAGGCGGGCACCCTCCAGAGACAGGTTAACTTGCAGGTGTACAGACCTGGAGCACTGCCCACAGTCACCCCAGCTCTGTGCACTAAGAGCCGTGTGTGTGTATGTGTGTGTGGGGGGGGGGTGCGTGCACGCGCGCCCACTGGCACTGATTGTGGCAATCTCCTCCAGGGCCAGAGAACCTCTCTTGCCAAGGTCACCGGTGACCTCCAGTGGTGGGGTCTCAAGCTCGGGCTGCATATTCTGACCAGGGGTCACTCTCTCCCACTTCCTGGAAACCCTCCCTCTCCCTAGCTTCTAGCACACAGCTCTCCTGACGCTCCACTGCCCTCTGGGGCTGCTGCTCCTCCCTGACCTCTATGTCAGAGGGTCCCAGGGCTCAGTTCTGGACCTGTCCCTTGCCTCGTGACTTTAAACACAAACTGTATGTCAAGGTGTCTCAAACACTTGCGGCCCAGCCCTCTCCTGCACCCTCCAAACACTGTACCCAACTGCCGGCGGACAGCTAGCTAGCTCCTCCCAGAAGCCCAACACCTTGAACTCCACATGGCCGAAATCAAGTTCCTGCCCTTCTTCCCCCCAGCCTTCCCCATCTCTGTCTGTCTGGTAGATCAAGCCATGGGGGAGTAAACTGTCCCTCCTCTCTTTCTCTACCCTTCTCCATCCAACCTTTCCATCAGATCCCCTCAGCTCTGCCTGCACCCGACACCCAGACTCCAGCCTCTTCCAGGGGCCTCCACTGCTATAGTCACATTCTGGGCCACATGCACCTCCTTCTCACCCAGACAGCTAGACTAGTCAGCTCCCTGCTTTATCTTGGGCCCGGATCAGCTCTCAACACAGCAGTAAGAGGGGTGATGTCAGGTCACCTCATGTCTCACCAAGTCCCTCCAGTGGTTCCTGTCTCACCCCACGTAAAAGCCTCCTGCCTGAGTGGCCCGGGTGTCCAGAGCCCTTGGTGCTGACCATCTCCTATCTGTACTCCTCTCTCCAGTGCTCAAGTCAGCCACAAGGCCTCCTTGTTGTTCCTCATACCTGAGGCTGCTCCCTTTGCAGAGCTCCCCCGCTGAGGGGTCCTCTCGGTGAGGTCTACCCTGAGGGCCTCCGTGAAAACTGCGATCCTTCCTCCAGCGCCCTAACCCTGGTCATGAAATCACCTAAAATACATGACATAATATGCTTATTCATTGTATTTATTGTTTATGGCCCATCTTCTGCTAGATTTTGAGCTGCATTACAACAAGGGCTTTAGTCTGTGTCCCCAGAACTCAGAATGGTGAGCAGCACACACCAAGTGTTTAATGGGTATCTGTGGAATGAAGGACTCAATCCACACAGATGTTTCCTTAGGAGAAATGTGATCAATGCGAAGGGGGAAAGGGATGAAGACGAGAGAAGAATTCCTTTGAATTTTAGTAATTAAGAAGTTTCTGTAATTCAAAAATGATTTTGGGGGCACCTGAGTGGCTCAATGGGTTAAGCCTCTGCCTTTGGCTTGGTCGTGATCTTGGGGTCCTGGAATGGAGCCCCACATTGGGCTCTTTGCTCAGTGGGGAGCCTGCTTCCCTGTCTCTCTCTGCCTGCCTCTCTGCCTACTTGTGCTCTCTCTCTCTGTCAAATAAATAAATAAAATCTTTTTAAAAAATGATTTTTAATTTACCTTTTTTAAAATAAAAGGACCAACTTGGGACCTCTATTTATGATCCTCATTGTATGAAATTTAAATCTACTACAGAATGTTTATTTTAATGAGTTCCCTCATTTTATTACCAGCGTCCATTCAACTGGATAATTGGATTTTGGGGGTGGCTGGGTGAGAAATGGAACATGAAAATGTAAATAATACATCTATCCCAAAAGCTAAGAAGCCCCCATTTTTCAAAGTAGTCCTTATTCAAAGAAAAAAGACTGAGGAAATATAGCAAAATGCTTGTATTTGGCTCCTCCATGTGAAATTGTTCATATTTGACAATTTTTGACCAGCCAAAATGATACTTCCATATGATTAAACCTGAAAGTATGGAAGGGTTCAGGATATGGTTTGTTTCTTTTTTATACTTTTTTGAAGAGAGATCCCAACCTTTCCGGAGTCAACAGTATTAATTTTATAATCAGAAAGAAACACATCTATTGGGGCGTCTGGGTGACTCAATTGTTAGGTGTCTGCCTTTGGCTCAGGTCATGATCCCAGCGTCCTGGGATCGAGCCCCACATTGGGTTCCCTGCTCTGTGGAAAGCCTGCTTCTCCCTCTCCCGCTCCCCCTGCTTGTGTTCCCTCTCTCGCTGTGTCTCTCTCTGTCAAATAATAAATAAAATCTTTAAAAAAGAAAAGAAAAGAAACATATCCATTAGAAGTAGCTTTGAAAAAGACTCTCCTACTGCTTTCCCCAGGGACTCGGGGCTTCTGGAGCCTTTTACACTCCTGCACTGCTCGTACGGGGCAACACCTGGCTGTGGGAAAGGAGGCACCATGAGGTTGCCCTCGGTCTGCTCTGGGCCACACCTGGCTGGCAAGCTTGCCCACTCTGCCTTTTTTGACCTTTGTCCCGCCAGGTCTCCTCT